TCATTTGCTAGTTGTCAGATCTCCAAATGATATGACAGCTTCTCTGTAATTAGAAGGATTAAGAACTGCTCTAATATCTCCAATGTGTGGACGCTAACAGCATCTGCACAGGGATTTCCAGTCTTTGACAGCTGTGCTCGAGCTGCTTGATTTTGTCTTTTAAACATTCCAGGGGCTTGGTGTGGCTCAAGTGGTAGAGTGCCTGCTTGGCAAGCGCAAGGTCCTGAGTTCAAACCCCAGTACCAAAAACAAAAACAAAAGCAAACATTTCAGTTAAATATGCAGAAGTTGTTGCGAAGTGAGTGCCAAGCCTGAAGAAAATGTTTATCTGATGTTTCTCAGGCCTCTGAGGATTTTGAAGCCTCAACTTCCTCTTTAATTGCCTTCCCTAGGAATACATTTTTGAGTGCTATTGAAAATAATCGAGCTGCTTTTTTTTTTTTTCTTATTGTGGTATTGGGGTTTGAACTCTGGTTCTCTTGCTTATCAAGCTGGTGCTCTACCACTTGAGCCATAAACCCAGGCCTCTTTGCTGGAATGTTCAGCTATTGGTTAAGATGGGGTCTTGTAAACTTCTTGCCCAAGCTGGCTTCAAACTGTGATCCTCTTGCCCTCTGTCTCCTGAGTAGACAGGTTTAGAAATGTGAGCTACAGTGCCAGGTTGTTTTTTTGTTGTTGTTGAGACAGGGTCTTGTTATGTAGCCCAGGCTGACCTTGAACTTGAGATCCTCTTCCTTCACCTTCTAAGTGCTAGAATTACACACATGGGCAGTCATACTCAGCAAGCTTTTAAATAATGTAATTCTTATATCTTTTATTTTGAAAGGGTTAAAATAAAACCATTTTAAGTTTCAAAGCAGAGGAATTAAATAACAGAATTTGTATAGAACTGCTTATAATCTGTTAATTCTTACTACTTTTAGTTGGAATGGAAATGCAGTTTTCCTGGGAGAAAAATAATTTATGATTCATGTTATTGATAGGGGCCGTAAGTTTTACTTTTGGTTAGATTGCATGGTATTTGTTTTAGATACTTAGGTGTCAAATCAAAATGTTTTCACAATGTTTCTGTTTCCTTTTTTGTGTGTGGTATTGGGGTTTGAATTTAGGACATTCTAGGCAAACCCTCTACTGCTTGAGCCATACTTTAGCCTAGTTTGCCATAGCTTATTTTTCATGTCGGGTCTTGTGATTGTTGCTTAGGCTGCTCTTAGACTACTGCCTATGCCTCCTGTGTAGCTGGGATTACAGATGTGCCCCGCCACACCCAGTCCACAGTGCTTCTAAGTGGAAATTTTGTTCATTCAGCTACTCAGAGGATTATTTTTTTTATTTAAAAGTTTTTAATTTTTGGAACCTTTTTATTATGGTTTGTCTTCTTAATGGCTTTCCCACCCTCTTATTCAAAATTCACAACACAAGGAAGCCAGACTTTGCACAGGAGGTTTTAGTTCCTATAATAGTGAGCATCCAAATGGTATATAATTCTTTTATTGGGAGTAGTTTTGCAGCCAACAATGAAAGTCTCCAAACAGAATGGCATTTATCTCTTTTTTTTCCTAATTTTTCTTTTTGGCGGTACTGAGGTTTGAACTCGGCCTTATGCTTGCTAGGCAGGCGCTCTACCACTTGAGCCATTCTACCAACACATTTATCTCTTTTTTGCTCATTCTTTGTAACCAGAAGAGGAAACAAACTTTTCAATGATCTGTATTCATGAAAAATGATCTGAAGCTATTTCTTTAATTTTCAAATATAATACCTATAGTGTAAGCTTCTTAAAGTGACAGATTTCTATTGCTTTCCTTTTGATGTGTCTTAGGATTCATTTATTTTTGAAGGTTCAAGCTAAATAAGCATAAATTATGTATATATGTAAGCAAGATACAAACTCACTTTTTGAAATTTTTATAGGCTTTTGAGAACATGAAATTTCTGTATCATTGTGTTTTGGAATTAAAAGGCACATTAGCTGATCAATCAGGAAAGTGCTTCTTGGCCTTTCTAAGGTCACCTGTAGAATCTGGTCAACCAGGGAACAACGTATTATCTTTAAATGTTTCATTTTGTGGTTCTGGGAATTTGAACCCAGGGCCTTGAGCTTGCTGGGCAAGGACTACCTACCACTTGAGCCATGCCCCCAGTTCTTTGGCTTTTAGTTTGTTTTTCATATAGTGTCTTACTAACTTTTCCTGAGCTGACCTTCCACTCCATCCGCTCTGCCTTCTGAGTAGCTGGGATAGCAGGCCCAACTCTTTTCAATGTTTATGATCTAACCTTTGACTCAGATCAGTTCATTTCTAAAAACCAGCAATTTTTATGAAGTATGAAAAAGCCAAGCTCTGAACAATACCGAGTTCCTGTTAACTACCCCTAGCTTATGAAGAAGCAATGTGATTTCTGTACCTACATGGTGTTCAGAACAATTAGGCTTTCATCTTTTTTGACCTACTCGTGAGGTGTTTTTTTTTTTTTTTTTTTAAGACAGAGTCTCGCTGTTCAAGGCTCAGTTCTGTTCTACCACTAAGCTACATTCCCACTCCTTTCAATATTTTTTATTTTGAGACAGTCTTGCTAAGTTGCTCAGGCTGGCCTGAAACTCGTAATCCTCCTACCTCAACTTCTCTAGTAACTGGGATTGCAGGAGAAGTGTACAGTGATAAATTCTAATAGTATAGACTGAAAAATGTAAAAAGTCTTTTTATGAGGCACAGCATACTTGTAATCCCAGTACTCAAAATGCTGAAGCTGGAGGATCACTAGATCAAAGCCAGCCTGGGCTACATAGAGAAGACCCTATCTTTAAAAAAAAGAAAAAGGAAAAAAAAAAAAAAAACCCTGAAATAAATAAATAAATGCCTCTTTCCTCTTCTGTATTTTGATAGTGCTTAAAATTGATATATGAAGTCATTAATAGAATTTCACTGTTTTTTGTTTTTGGTGGCACTGGGGTTTGAACTTAGGGCCTCACACTTGCTAGACAGGTACTGTTACTGCTTGAGCCACCCTGCCAGCCGTTTTTTGTGATGGGTTATTTGAAATAGGATCTCACAAACTATTTGCCTGGGGCATTTGCCCGGAGCTAGCTTCTACTGCATCTTTCTGATCTCAGCCTCCCAAGTAGCTAGGATTACAGCATGAGCCATGGCGCCCAGCTTTATTTTGTTTTTATACTCATTGACTCTTGGATACATTTTCATACATAGGACATGCAACTTTATGGTACTATTATTTATAAATGTACTTACAATTTATTTCCCACTGATGGTTAGTAGGCTTTAAGTTGAACTGATTCTGCAGTGAATTTCCTTCTGCCTATATATAGCTCTGGGTTGTGACGGTAATAAATACTTGTAGTGTAGTATAAATTTACACGGAACTGCTGGGTTAGTGGCCGTGGGCTTCCGTACTGCCCTCTAAAACTCTTAGCTCTTCACATATTCCCAGTATTGGTGGTGTATATAGTTTGAATCTTTGCTAAGATAAATTGAAGACACTGAGTTTCTATTTCATGAATTCCCATCTTTTTGATTGCCCATTTTCCCTGGCTAACTGTTACAATTTGCCGCTTTTTCTATAAGCTTATTAGTTTTCTTCCTTCATTTCTTCCTGTTTCCAACTCGAGGTCTACCTCCCTCAGGAGTGTGCCACCACACCCTGCTCTAAGTTGTGATTTTTGTCATTTTTTTGTGATACTGGAGCTTGAACTCCGAGCCTTGCAGTTGCTGGGCAGGCGCTCTACTACCTGAGCCATGCCCCACTCATCTTTCTTCCTGCCTGAGTCCTCCCTCAACCCCAGGGCTCTGAGCATCCTAAGCACATGCTCTACTGTTCAGGCTCACTTGTGGCCTTTCCTGATTGATTGAGAGGAGCTCTTTAGAAATGTAGCACATTTATAATCCTATCTTCCTAATTTCATGCATATATTTTGTTAACATCTAGCTTAATTATTTTTTTCAGAATAATTTTCTTAGTGAAATTGGGTTATGTTAACATTCTCATAATCTGAGATTCTATATTATTTAATAAATTATTTAACATATATCAGATTGTACTTAAAATGGGTAAGGAAGCGAAATCAACTGAATCTTATGCCAACAAGTAGAACTCTGTACTTCAGCATAATTCTGTTTGCTGTTTTCATTGCATTAAATGCTAAGATCTATGCAGTGTAAAATTTGCCATTTTGTACAGTTTTAAGCAGCACTGAATACCTTCATATTGTTACACAACCATGATCACTATCCATCTCCAAATCTTTTCATTATCCCAGCTGAAACTCATGAAAACAGCATTATTTTTGTGTTTTCAACTATGTCCTTATTGTGGACATTTAAGCTGTTTCCATACAGTTACATATAATTTCCCCCACATTTAGGTAAAAATTCATACATTTTTCTTCTTATTTGACTATTTTTTCATGAAAGCAGTTCTTCCATGATAGTGGGATTCTCTAAAGAACAGAATGAATTTTAAAATTGGTTTTGGGACTGGGAGTATGGCTCAGTGGTAGAATGCTTGCCTTGAGTTCAAACCTACAACCACACAAAAGAAAAAAGACTTTGGCCATCAGCTCTCCTACCTCTACTGAAGAACTTCTCCTCAACTTGAGAATGAAAGCTATGACTAGAAGGTTAAGTATATTAAAAATATTTTATAGGTAATTCGACATTAGGATAGCTATTTTATGGAGAGATACTTCTGTGATAATAGAGAAGTCAAAGTCTCTTTGCCTAAATCGGTAACTTTTCAGTGGAAGATCAGACTTGGTGACATTGTCAGGCCAGGTGCCGGGAGGGGTATGTGCAGGACAGATCATTCATTTGGAAAAGGGGATTCATACATATTCTGCTGTTCTGGTGGAAAACAAGTTGAAAAACTACCTGTTTGTGTTAAATATTTTTGACTGGTTACGGTTTATATGTACTTGGCTTTAATTTTAAAATAACTGAGTGTCAGATAACTATAAATCTTCTAATAAGAGCTCTGCTCTCTTCCAGGACTGGCAGCCACCATTCGCATGTGATGTTGATAAACTTCATTTCACCCCACGTATCCAGAGGCTGAATGAATTGGAGGTAATGTCCTCGCTGGTGTTGTGGCTGCCTGTGTTCCAGGGGGTCTTCTTTGAAGAAACTTTGTCACCAATCTGATGGCTTAGTGATATGGAACGGCTGATAACTGATAAAAAATTTCAGTGAAAACACTAATTTTGTCAGTTATTATTTTTTACCTATTAATTAATGTATATAAACCATTCTACATCTAGATGATAATCACCAGAACTTAGGTTTTGAAAAAAATCTTCTTTGAGAACCATACAATAGAAAAGATTCTGCAGTCCTAATTTTCTTCCAAGTGCATAAATTAGATTTTAATAACACACTTTAGTTTTCCAAGGAAGAAGGAGGCATACAGGGGATTCTCCAGAGAATGGATGTTTCTTCAGTTCCTATGCAACAGAGGGCTTAAAATGCAGGGTTGATAAGACTTGGGGTGTTGATAACATAGAGACAAGTTGTTTACCTTAGTGTTTTGCAAATCATATTTTATCCTTTACATTGTATCAAACATTTTTTTTAACTTAAATAGACTACATACCCAATGGAATTCTGTAGTCATTGATGGTGGGTATTTAATATATATATTTTTAAGGATTTCAATACATTTTTAAATTTCAAGTTTACCTTGAAAATAGTAGATATGTGCTAACTTGAGATCTTAGAGTATAGTTGGGAATATCTGAACATTGATCTCAATTTTTCTCTGGTGTGCAAGATAAAAATTTCCCAAACTGCCTGACTTACATTTTGTAAGGAAGGGGAAGAAAAATGACCTGTAGAGGACAGTAATAATTTGTTAAAGCAATAGCATTTAAGAATGTTCCCCTGGTTTTCTTTTACTTTAAATTACCATATCAGGGCTTATTAAAATTCATGTGGAAATACCATTATAAATCTGTTTTTTGGTTTGTATTTGAGGAAGTGAGAAAATTGCAGAAAATGGACTTTTAAAATATCTAATTTTAAAAAGACCGTATCGAAGCTTACCTGTCATGTGATCAATCTTAAGCAGTAACATGAAATTGTGCTTCTGGTACCTCTTAACTGAAGCACCATTCAGAGTGACTACTTATGTTATGGGAGGGCTTACTGAGTGTTTTAACTCCTTACCTGGTATGTGGTAGAGGCTGATTTAATGTTTTGTTAATGTATTCAACCAGCTTTATTTTATATATTTTTGGCTGATTCTTATTGAATTCAGAAAGTAGTTTTATACTTGACTATTTGAAGAACGAAGATGCCACATGAGCAGGTAATAGGCAGGAATTTTAAAATAATCTGGGTAAATGCCAGGTGCAGTGGCGTACTGCTCAGGTCCCAGCTACTTGAGAGACTGAGATGGGAGGACTGCTTGCACCTGGATAACCTGGGCAACACAGTGAGACCCTGTCACAAAGAAAAAATTCATTTCTTTGTCATGTAGGCTCAAACACGTGTAAAACTGAATTTCCTGGACCAGATTGCAAAGTACTGGGAGTTACAGGGAAGCACTTTGAAAATCCCACATGTGGAGAGGAAGATCTTGGACTTGTTTCAGCTAAATAAGGTAAGGTGAATGGCCATCATACTTGCGGTCTTCTTTACTTTAAAGAGAAACTTACTGTTGAGTTATGTAAAATGAGATTTCCAACTCAGTTGAGTAATGAGGAGCAGGCTCTGCCTGTCCAGTCTGGAAGCCTTATTTTACAGATTAATTTTTCTACTATCTGTTTTTGTCATTTTAAAACTTCACAATAATTCTGTAAGCCATTCCTTTCTATTTTAATACAGAAAAGGAAGGAAACTGAGGCTCAAGGAGGTTTTTGTAAATTGACCATGGTGAAAAGACTGAGTCATATTCGATTCCAGGTTCCACCTAATTCTAAAGTCTGCATTCTGTCTACCAAATATGATGGTGTGCTTTGCTACACCTTTGTTTATGGAGATCTTAAGGGTCACAGAGTAGGACCAAGTACTTGGGCCCTTTCTTTATAGAGGTTTAATTGTTAATATAGTTTTTCTAATGACTTCTTTGAGGAAATGATAAGAGGGACAAAGGGTTTATGGACCATGCTGTCAAAAAGATGGTTTGATTTTCTAGCTTAAAATTAATAGCATATGTATTTTTTCTTTTGATTTGGAGCTGGGTAGAGTTGCCTGCCTGGCAAACTCAAAACCCCGAGTTTCAAACCCCAGAACAACCAAAAGAGAGAAAGAAAAAAAAAAAAACTAACTGTAGCTGGGAACAGTATGTTCTTGGAGTCATACCTAGGCATGAGGGAATTAGAAGTGTTGTCCATGGAAGTGTTCCTAATTTCTTTTGCTATTTTTACAGTTAGTTGCAGAAGAAGGTGGATTTGCAGTTGTTTGCAAAGATAGAAAATGGACCAAAATTGCCACGAAGATGGGATTTGCCCCTGGCAAAGCTGTGGGCTCACATATCAGAGGGCATTACGAACGAATCCTCAACCCCTACAACTTATTCCTGTCTGGAGACAGCTTGAGGGTGAGTTTTGGGGCTGGCCGTAACCTGTTTTATTTCATAGATTCTTGGCACATTGTCTTTTAGGGGGAATGAAGAGACTTCGATCACATTTGTAAGACATTGTTTAGAAGATGTTATTTTGTGGATATTTCCTCCAGTGCTTTCTGTTTTGAGAGCCATACTTAGAAGTTCGTTTTTGAAATAAATAAGATTGGAGGGGAAAATTCCTTTTACTGTCAAAGGCTGAAATCTGTATTTACTTCACCCCAGGTGCTTCTTTGTGAGAAGGAGTTGAATACTACCTACTTGATACTTCTTAACGCGATTTCAAGTATCCTTAATGGTCACAAGAAAGTATAACCTGTGAAATAACTTGCCTGTTCTCTTCTGCTAGCTGAGATTCCAAGAAGTGTCAGATAGAATGCTCACATTTGTAAAGGAGAGAGGGCCTCATAGTGCTGCATAGCTAATGGAGTCTTCTTTCAGTAGCTCCTGTCTAGTCATGTTTGTTTCCACATAAAAAAGACATTATTTGGGTAAAAACTTCTGTTTCTAATTGAAGTAAAATGAAATTATGAAAACTGCCCATTACTTCAAGGCCCAGCTAAGAAAGGAGTGTCAGTTTCATTTCCATTCTGTGGGTTACAGAGTAGAATAGTAAGCCCTGTAACTTTGCGGGTTTCTGTGCTGAGAGAGGTAGATGATAGCAATATCTTGGGATCAAAGCCCTGTCCTCATGCTGTAGACCCATACCATCTACAAGGTTTCAATGCTACAGATTCACATAGCGTTTTGAGGTTTTCCTCTTTTTTTATATTAGTGTATATTAATTGTACAAAGGGGTTTCATTGTGATATTTCCATCCACACACATTTTGTTTGTTTGTTATATTCTTTCTCCTTTCTTGGTTCTAGGTGAACTTTTTTTCCTTTTTTTTTTGTGATACTGGGGTTTGAACTCAGGGCCTGCACCTTGAGCCACTCCGCCAGCCCTTTTTTTAATGACAGGTTTTTTTGAGATAAGGTTTTGAGAACTACTTGCCCAGGCTGGCTTTGAACCACAATCCTCCTGATCTCTGTCTCTGCTTCTTGGGTAGCTAGGATTACAGGCGTGGGCCACTGGTACCTGCCTTAGGTGAACTTTTTGGCCTAGAGGAACATAACCAATCTTGTATTCAGAAAGCTTGGTTTTCTTTCTTTTTTTTTTTTTTAATGTTAGTGAACCAATGGGTGAAATTGTTTGGAACATTCAATGTGGAATCTATCTTTGTTACTCCCCTCCCCCCTCCCGCCTCCCAAGGGCTGGGCTTAGAAGCACTTGCCACCATCAGGCCTTTGCCTCTGTCAGACCTAGATATAGCCCACAGAGGTTAACTTTCTCTTCTCCAACTATCTAAGTGTGAACGTTACAGTGAATAAGCCTTAAGCTTTATGAGTTGCAACATTTTAGAAGCATGTCATCTGTATACTTAGAGAGCCAGTGTAGTTTCATAGTTAAAAAGCACTTGACCCTTGTAAACCTAGCTACATAGGAGGATCATGGTTTCAGGCCAGCACTGGCAAAACAAACCTGTCACTGTGGCACATGCCTCTAATCTCAGCTAGGTAGGAGGATTATAGTCCAAGATGGGCCCAGGGAAAAATTTCCAGCCCCTACCTGAAAAATAAAGCAAAAAAGACTATAGAGCAGCTCAAATGGTAGAGCACCTGCCTACCATAAAAGCTAGTTTGAGCATTTATACAACTATGAATCTGAAAAGAACAGGTGTTTAAAGACACCCTTTACAAACATTGTACCTACAACAGGTAAATATTTGTTGAGGGACCAATTATGTGTCAAGTATATTCTAGATACTGATGTATATTTACTTGAGAAAGTTTAAAAATAGGAAAGCATCATAAAAATAAAATCACTCCTAATCCTCTCACCTGCCATTTCTCAAAGCTGTTTTTTATGCATGTGTGCACAAATGTATACATCATATACTCATCATGTAGTGTTGGGTCTTGTTACTTTTTTTTTTTTAATTCGATTTAACAGCATTTGCTATGTCATTGAATTTTTTTTTTTTTTTTTTTTTTTTGGTGCTACTGGGGTTTGAACTCAGGACCTTGCACTTGCCAGGCAGGCACTCTACCACTTGAGCCACATCCCCAGGCCTCATTGAATGTTTTTGAAGACATGGTTTCTTATGACTGTGGGATTCCATTTTTATAGCCAGACTTTGACTTGATTTTTCCTGTTGTTGAAAGTTTGTTGTTCCCCCCGCCCCTTGATTTTTTTGGTGTTGATGGGGATCAAATCATCCTGAGTCCTGTACATGCTAAGACATACTCCATGTGGGCCAGTAGCCCAGTGGGTAGGTAGCATGCCTGACTACACACCTGAAGACATGCTCTGCCACTGAGCTACATCATCAGCCTCTATGCCATTTCTGATTTTTGAAATTAATTTTTAGAGGAAAAGGAGAATTAGAAAACACAGTTTTTTTTTTCTTTAAAGAATGATGGCACACAATGTAGGAATTTTTACAAAAGGGTGAACAAGAGTTAAGCTTTGGAAAACTTGAAAAGTTGAGCAATGATATAGTGGCACAGTGGAGCACAGGCCTCCATCTTGCATCACCATGTTTTCTAAATGTCTAAGGCATGGCTCTGTCTCTGTGGGGTGATGTGATTATGGTGTGGCAATATTAATAATTTCTAAATCCCAGTTTGTCAAGTAAAGGTCCAAATTAGACCCTGCATGTGATAGCATTCATTAGATCTGAAATCTGCACATCTGGTGTGTTTTGAATTAGGGTTTGAAACAAATAATAAAGATCTTTCTTCATAAAGTGTTGCTCTGCTCACTTTATTTTTGGTTTCTACAGCCAACTGTAGATGGTGGACCCTTACAACTAGAGGGAACTCAGGGTCCAGTACATGGTGTCTGAATTTCTGACTATCTGCTTAATAAAATTTATTTGATCCAGCTCAGTGTTTCCCTAGTTCACAAAATAAATAAAAAGGGTTAATTTAGTTGCAGGTTTTATTCCTGTCTACATGCTTGCTTTAAACTCAAATCAATGTATAGGTTTAATAAGAATGAGCAGAGTATTTAATATTTATATATTTTTGTACTAGTGATAGATTCATTACTTGTTATAATCTATATTGTAGAAATATAAAGTACATAAATACAAATATATTTTATATATTTACATGTATTTAGAAATATACATATATATATAGAGAGACAGACAGACAGACAGACAGACATATTGTCAGTTTGTTCTCTCTGCTTCCTTTTGTCCTGCCTCTAGTAGTGCCGGTAGTTCTGCACATTGGATATCTCAGCTCTTGTGCTGGGCGAGCCTGAGGCTTTGCTGTGCTGTTGAGTTTATTTCGTTACACCTCATGTCAACTATAAATGGTATAACACCCCATGAGTTACATTTGGGAACCCACTTTTAAAAATGTTCCCCTGGTGTTTCTGAGTCCTCTTATGAAAGAGAAGTTTTACTTCAAATTTACATTAGTTCCAATGGTAGTATTTTGACATGTTATGTTGTATTGGCGTTTAATGCTGCCCATTATTACTAAGAGCTACATACCAATATTTGGTCTATAAGTTAGATTTTGTACAGATACACTGAAGTACATAGAAACCCTAGTAAGAAAGAGCATGTAGTCAAATGACCTGTTTTCTCAATCAGGACATATTTTGATGATGACATTGCTCTTTGTGTCTAAAACTACAAGACTGAAAAATCTAGAAAACCCTACTAGATTCCCACTTTTGTGTTATTTCTTTGGGGGGGGTATTTGAACTGGAGTTTGAACTCAGGACCTTGCGTTTGGCTGGGTGGGTGCTCTGCCAGTTGAGCCCTTTTGCTTTAGGTTATTTTAGGTTATTTTTCAGATAGAGTCTCCTGCATTTTTGTCTCAAACCATGATTCTCCTATTTATGCCTCCCACCCACATGACTGGAATGACAGGCATGCACCAAGCTTATTGGTTGCAATAGGGTCGCACTACCTTTTTGTCCAGATTGGCCTCAAAACTCAATCTTCCCAGTCCCCATGTCCTAAGTAGCTGGGAGTACAGGCGTTGAGTCACTGTACCTGGCCTCCTATGTCATTTTTTATTTTTATTTTTTGTTGTGCTAGGGGCCAAAGCCAGCTAGCAAGAGCTCTACCACTGAGTTTCATTGCTAGATCTTGGCTCTTTTGAGACAGGTCTTGATATGTGGCCCAGGATGGTCTTAAGCTCAGAATCTTCCTGCCTCTGCCTCCTGAATGCTCCACCATTTCTGGCTGAATTTTCACTTTTATTCCAAATACTTTTTCTCTGTTTTTGAGATAGGATCTCACCAGGTAGCTCAGGCTGGCCTTGAACTTGTCCTTCTGCCTCAGCTTCCAAGTGCTGGAATTACAGATGTGCACCTCCACTCCTGGCTTTAGAAGGAAAGAATATAGTCTTAATTTGGGGAACTATTGAGACTTACAAGGGAACTTTTTAATAGTTTGGGTCAATTCACAGTCACAAGTGCAGGTATTATCAAATGAGTCAGTAAGAATGCCTTGAGCCTGCCATGGCGTGCACATGCTTGTGTGTGTGTGTGTGCCTGTCTGTATTTTGTTTGTGTTTTGGCAGTACTGGGGTTGGAACTCAGGGCCTTGCACGTGCTAGGCAAGTGCTCTATCATTTGAATCACCCCTCCAGCCCTTTTTGCTTTAGGTTATTGTTCAGACAGGAACTTGTGTTTTTTGCCTTGGGCTGGCCCCTAACCATGATGCTCCTACCTTTGCCTCCCACTTAGCTGGAATTATAGATATGCACCAGCACACCCATCTTGTTTGTTGAGATTGGGTTTTCACTGACTTTTTTGCCCTGGCTGGCCTTGAACCTCATCCTCTTTGCAGCAGCATTATAGGTGTAAGCCACCAGGCTAACCTGAAGATAGTGTATCCAGTTCTGAATTCCTGCCTCTGGAGTGCTAAGATTACAAGCGTGTTCTACCAGCTGTGGCCTGTTATGCCTTCTTCAACTCTTGACAAGCTCAGCAGTGAAATAAACTGAAGCAACATGGTTTACCTGTTATAAAATTTTCCAGGTGTAAAAATTGTACCTGCTGTGCATGTGTGCATATGCGTGGTATTTGCAGTCTTATTTTTGTGTTTGTTTAGACTTTTAAAAAGTAGACCTGTTGTGTTAGCTACACAAATAATTATAAAATTTACCTTGTAAAAATCAACAGAACCCTCTTCAGATTAATTTCTTAAGGGAAGGAACATTCATCTCTGCATTTTGTTTTATTTCCAGTGTCTGCAGAAGCCCAGTCTGACAACGGACACCAAGGACAAGGAGTACAAACCCCATGATATTCCCCAGAGGCAGTCCGTGCAGCCCTCAGAGACATGCCCGCCCGCCCGACGAGCCAAGCGCATGAGAGCAGAGGTGAGACCCTCAGCAGGTTGAGTGGCGGAGCTGTTGAGCCAGCATGGCGGTGGCCGTCCAGCACCAGCTTCCTCTCACGCATGTGCTCTTGCTCATCTCACAAAGGATGCTTTGCGCTGCCCAGCTCTTGCACTGGGAGAGGCAAAGGACTCTTCATAGGCTTTGCTGGTCAGAGCATTGGGAAGAATTGACTGGTGTTCTTGTGCTTCTGGTTGGGTTTTTTTTTTTTTTTTGGGTGGTACTAGGGTTTGAACTCAGGGCCTCATGCTTGTGAGACAGGCCCTTTACCACTTGAGCCACTCCACCAGCCCTGAGCTCTGGTTGGATTGCCTGTTCCTCTCACAAAGTTAGGCAGTGCTGACTGGAGACTGGAAGACAGTGAAAACCGCTTGCTCAGACCTTTTTGAAGAGGAGTATGTAGTCAGTGGCACATGTATGCTAGGAGAGAGGATGAAGTAGTGTTAAACAAGGAAGATGAAATGAAAGTGACATGAGGATTAAAAGACTGAGATGATCATTTGAGTGCTTTAAGAATGTTTTTCTGCCCAGAAGTTTTCCCCTGTGAAAGGAAGAATATTTTCTCACTTACCTCATTCTTGGCTATCTGTCTAGCTGATAGGTGTCTAGTTTTAGGACTCAGGTAGTATATAGGGAGTGATTTAGAGTGAAGAAGCCTCATGTTGCAGTAATTATGCTTCTAAATTAGTCTGTGGTTCTTTGGTGGCTCTTTGATAATCATTTGCAAAGATGAACATGAATTAATGATTTTGGTTTTTGAAGTAATTGATAAATCGGAGAATTGTTTTTTACTTGGATAAGTGGGAGGGAGATACGAAAAAATTTCATTGTCTCCATTTTTCTGGATGAAAGAAACACCCAGAATAGGAAAATAGTTATTTGAAATCTGTACGTGTGTTTAAAGCTCATTAATCTTAAGAATGAGTTCATTTTGAACATATTCTTGATCTTTATATGCAAGACATTCTCCAGTGCTACAGATGCTTGGGACTGCATTGATGACACGTAGTGATAACGACAAACCTCTGTGAGCTGTGGACACTGGCAAAGTGATACCAAGTATACTTCCCCAAGCATTGTGTTAGAGACCACTAACATAGTTTTATTTCCATTACCAATAAATAGTAGCATTTCAAGTAACAATAGTAACTGGGATTGGTAATTCGTAATAACTGGGAGAGTAACTGAGGTAGTAATTTGTGATGTTAGAGGTATAGTTTTTTAGGATTTGAACTTAGGGCATCCTCTTGCTAGGCAGACATTCTACTGCTAGAGACACTCTCCAACCCAGAGGTGTAGTTTTTAAGAACTGTTTGTTAAAAGAATTTATAGAAAATTGTGGAAGCTGAATTTTCCACAAATAACAGTGGCGTATAGAAGAGGTTTGCAAATTCTTAGAAGCTAATAAAATTGTGATATTTACATAACTGCTTCAGGAGTAGGCTTAGTGATAATTTAATACAGTATAAAGTGAACAGATATGAACTGAGAAGTTTCTAGGAGGAAAATAGGGGTTGTTGTAGTAACACTTCTCCTAGTTTATCCCTGATTCTTTGATTTTTTTTTTCTCCTGTTTTTCAACCTATGATAATAGAGAATACTCCTGTAAGATTCCTCTTCTATACCTTGAATAAGAGTAGTTTCAAAGAGGGGTCTCTCCTCTAAGGGGAGAAACAGTAAGTTTTGAATTCCCTGTTACAGTCACCTAGAGATTCCAATTGGATTTTTTTGGGTTGCGGGGGACTGGGGGGCATTGAACTTAGTGCTTACCACTTGCAAAGCAGACACTCTATTGCTAGAGTCACACCTCCAGTGCATTTTGTTCTTTTTATTTTGGAGATGGAGGTCTCATGAACCATTATTTACCTGGGTTGGCCTGGAACAGTGATCCTTTTTTTTTTTTTCCTTTTCTCCTTTTAGTTTATCATTTTTACACTTAACTTACATGTGTATGCATTGTTTGTGCCATCTCCCTCTTTTTTTTTTCTTTTTTTTAAATTATATTCATATGTGCATACAATGTTTGGGTCATTTCTCCCCCCTTCCCCGCTTCCTCCTTTACCCCTCCTCCCTCCCTTATCCCCCCCCCAACCCCTCGCTACCAAGCAGAAACTATTTTGCCCTTATCTCTAGTTTTGTTGAAGAGAGAGTATAAGCAATAATAGAAAGGAACAAGGGCTTTTGCTGGTTGAGATAAGGATAGCTATACAGGGAATTGACTCACATTGATTTCCTGTGCATGTGTGTTACCTTCTAGGTTAATTCTTTTTGATCTAACCTTTTCTCTAGTTCCTGGTCCCCTTCTCCTATTGGCCTCAGTTGCTTTAAAGTATCTGCTTTAGTTTCTGTGCGTTAAGGGCAACAAATGCTATCTAGTTTTTTGGGTGTTTTACCTATCTCATACCTTCCTTGTGTGGTCTCGCTTTATCATATGATCAAAGTCCAATCCCCTAATGAGGGAGAACATACGATTTTTGGTCTTTTGGGCCAGGCTAAGCTCATTCAGAATGATGTTCTCCAGTTCCATCCATTTACCTGCGAATGATAACATTTCATTCTTCTTCATGGCTGCATAAAATTCCATTGTGTATAGATACACAATGAATATCCATTCATCAGTAGTGGGGCATCTTGGCTGTTTCCATAACTTGGCTATTGTGAATAGTGCTGCAATAAACATGGGTGTGCAGGTGCCTCTGGAGTAAACTGTGTCACGTTCTTTTGGGTATATCCCCAAGCCATCTCCCTCTTTAATTGGATTTTTAAGACAATTTCTTTCTTTTTTCAAAAAAAGTATTCATGTATGTGACCTTTTTTTTTAGGCCATGAGTATTAAAATAGAACCAGAAGAGACAACAGAAGCTAGGACTCATAATCTGAGACGCCGGATGGGTTGTCCAACTCCAAAGTGCGAAAATGGTAAGATGAATAAGAAAGAAAAAATAAATAAAAACAAATATTTATTAATTAAGTGGACATTAAAGCAATTATTATGTACTAGTCCTTTGAAATATAAAATCTTAATATCTCTTTGTCTTTGTTATAATTAACTGCCCAGGGGAAGAAACAGACATGTATGCATATTAGGAGCGTAGGTGAATTTCTCAGCTGTAGATAGCTGCTTTGAAATTCAGTACATTCATTTTTACAAAAAGGATTTCTGAAAAGTATAGATATCTGACTCTTAGAGATTTATTTCTGGCAAAGCAGAGAGACATACTTTCTGAGTCTGAATTTTAGTGATCATTGCTTGCCTCGCTGTCACTTGGTGTCAGTCTTCGAGAGGTAAATTTGTGGTATGTGCACATGTGGCACATTCAAATGAAGAAATTACTAAGATACCTCTCCTTAGGGATTAGTGAGTCAGTGGAAAGGCAGTGTAGTGTAGTGTATCAATAACAACATGAAGCTGTGTCCTGGCCCAACCACTAACTAGTTATAGATGTTTCTTACTTTCTGTTAGCATCATTTTTCTTGTCTTTGAAATGGTTCATTTGAAGGATTAACTTTGTGGAGTGCACTTAGCACGTTATAGTTCAGTGATTCATAACTTAGTTTTTAGCCAAAATTTTCAGTCTTTGGAACCAGGAAGTTTGGAACCAGAAAGTTGATCCAGAAATCATCTTAGCTCATGGAGAGAGAATATATGTGGAAGAGGTGGAGTTGGTGAACTCAGTCAGTCATGATCAAGGGCAACGTGGTTTCATCAATATATGCCGTGTCTTAGCCATCTCAGCTCCTGTTTGGAAGGCTCAGCTCACAAACCTAAGCAGCGTGCACAGAGCCATCCACATGTTGAAATATAACGGGTGTGAGAGTTTGTATCTTGTGGTGAAGTGATCAGTGTCGAGCCCTTGAACTTAGTGACACTGAGTGCTCTGCTACTACGCTGCAAACAGACGTGCAGCTGTGTTTTTGTGCTGTGTGTGCTTTGGGAGGAGGGGGATGATGAGGTGAGGAAGGAGATAAGAGAAAAGCATGGTACAGAAAGAACTGACTTTTTCTAGGGTGACATTTAGGGGGGAAAAGAAAAAAAAAGCTAACTTTGGATTGCCTCCTGCAGAGAAAGAAATGAAAAGTAACATCAAGCAGGAACCCATTGAGAAGAAAGACTATATTTTAGAAAGTGAGAAGGAAAAACCCAAGAGTCGATCTAAAAAAACTACCAGTGCTGTGAGTTGATACCTCCTTTCCCCCATATCTTCTTTTTCTCCTTCCACTTCTTTGTTTCATGAGACGGGGTCGCACTGTGTTGCTCAAGCTGACCTCAAATCCTTCTGCCTTAACCTCCTGAGCAGCTGGGATGAAAGACATGCATCCCTTCTTTTCTTCCTTTTCTTTTCTTTTTTTGGTAATACTGGGGGTTGAGCACAGGGCCTCGTGCTTGCTAGGCAGCCGCTCTACCACTAGAGCCACTCTGCCAGCCCCTCTTTTCTTTCCTTTTCCTTTCTCCTCCTTTCCTTCCTTTTCTTTTTCTCTTATTATTTCTTTATTTCTGTAATCAACCCATATAGCTAAGACTTCATATTTCCAGTGCACTTAACACAGTGCATTGGAAAATGCACAAATGGAATATAATTAAGTTGAATGTTTCTAGACCAGTATCACTATGAATTTCCGTGCCAAGTCAATGCTGTAAACTGGGATACTTTTTTTCAAAAGTTGATAGCACAGCTAGTTTCAAAAAAATATAAATTATAAAAAGACCAATAATAGCAACATGCTGTGTATCAGTAGCAGCAGTTATTTTTCCAGCTTCTGCAGTTATCTGAACAAAATGAAGAGACAGACAGCATCCCCTCCCCCAAAAACGAAAAAAATAAAACCCGGAAAACAGCAAAGTTCTGTTACTGTTGTGGAACCTGGCATCTTTTTTTTTTTTTTTTTTTTAATTTCAGCTTCTCAATCATCTGGAAAGAAAACATTCTAGAGTAAATCATTAGAAACAGCTGTTCCTTTCCTTCAACCCCCCCCCCCATCCCCCTTTACAAACAGGCTTACACTGTGTGCCTTATTTAGGATTGGTTAAATTAGTGTCTATGGAAAGATCTTTTCCAGTCACTTTACAGTATCCATTTATAAATGAGATACATGGTTACGTTGTGAAGACAGTAGCACTAATCTGGACGGCACTGACAGCCATTTTTCTGGAGCACATTCCATTTGCACTGAATAGTAATAAGCTACATCATGCATAGAATTTTTCATAAATCGCCAGCCCACCTCCGGATGAACTGAAGAACAGATCAAGAATGAAGTTGCTGACATGCATCTTTTTAGCTAGCAAGGGCAAAGAAGGAAAGAAGAAGAATGGAGTTGAGAAATAGTTGGCAAAGGCACGGCAGAGTTGGACAGCTCTTTATTCTTTTAGAAAAACTTGTTAAAAGTAAAGTTTGAGATGTTAGGAAAGTACCTGGTTGTCCTTCCCTGCCTCCTCTGAGAGTCTGGTAACAGTGCCTTTTACCTTAGAATTAGACATTACTCTGATCTAATGTCTTCTCCATAAATACCTGCCACTTTCCCACCATACAAAGATACAATCAGAAAATTTGCAGAGCCCAGATTTTTATTTCCTACAGTAAGTAGACTTTCAAAGTGGTCCTCCCTGTTAGTTGAGCTCTCCACTTCTTATTAGTGAGGAATGTATTAGTTTGCTAGGAAGTACCGCAGACAGAGAGACTTAGACATCAAAGTTTCTCATGGTTCTGTAAGCTGGTTCTTCATCTCAAGCTCTGAGATGAAGGTGTTGGCAAGGTAGGTTTTTCTGAGGCCTCTCTGCTTGACTTCTCCCTGTGTCTTCACATGATCTTTTTTCTGTACGTATCTATGTCCTCGTCTCCCCTTTTTGTAAGTATACTAGGTCACATTGGAGTTGGGCCCACTCTCATGACCTGATTTTACCTTAATCACCTCCCTGAAGGCCCTGTCTCTAGATACTGTCATATACTAAGGGTAGGGCTCCAACATGATGTCCGTTCTACAATTCAGCATCTGAGCTGAATGTAACACATAATAAAAATCCTTTATCCCCAGGCATTTGGGAAACCTATTAGCCATGACCCCCTAAGTAGAATTGAAAGTGATAGTTTGTTTTTTAATTTTAATTATTATTTTTGGTGGTACTGGGGTTTGAATTCAGGGCTGCACACTTTGGTGGGCAGGCACTCTACAATTTGAATCATGCTTGCAGTCCTTTATTTTTTGAGATAGGATCTGACTATGTTTTGTCCATTCTGATCTTGAGCTCCATCCTCTTGCCTCAGCCTCCTGAGTGCTAGGATTATAGGCATGTTCCATCATACCTGCTGACTTTAAATATTAGTAAAAAGTAGTTAATTAACTTGAAAACAATGTTCTTTACTTTTAAATATGGAAAAATTGAATTTTTCCTTCATAAATTCTGTTTTTGACTATGCTAGTAATTTATTGCCCAACACCTTATTCTTCTAGAAGATTATCATTTTGGGTATTTGAGTCAGAGTCCCACTATACAGTTCAGGCTGACCTTGAACTCATGATCCTCCTTGCTCTGCCCCCCAAGTCCTAGGATTCCAGGTGTACACCACTCCATCCAGCTCTAGAAGATTATCTTTAAATTACTAAAAACTAGCGATTTAAACAGCAAACTTTAAGCACCAGATGAGAAAGTTAGAAGATCACATTTGAGAATTAAGAATGCATGCGGTATTATGAAATAAAAGTGAAGCGTTTTTATTTAAAGTGTCCCTTACATGGGTTGGGGATGTGGTTCAGTGGTAGAGTACTTGTATAACATGCATCCCTGGGTTTGATCTTTAGTACCGTAATAAAGAAAAAAAGAGGTTGAAGAGTCTAGATTATATCTTAGGTCCATTTCATTCCTAGTATTTCACAAATCAAGTAATAGTTCATGTTACTTTGTTCTGTGCCCATTTTCGTTGCTGCAGGTAGATTTGTATGTCTGCCTCTTATGTGGCAGTGGCAATGATGAAGATCGGCTTCTCTTGTGTGATGGCTGTGATGACAGTTACCATACATTTTGCTTGATCCCACCTCTCCATGATGTTCCCAAGGGAGATTGGAGGTGTCCTAAGTGTTTGGCTCAGGTAAATAGTAATGACAGAAACAGAATAAAATTTTCTTTTAGCGCATTTTCCTTTGCTTGTGAGGTTTAGATTTGGCAGTGGGTAATAATGAAGCCCATTTAGGCTGATTCTAAATGGGTCTTAGAAAAAGGTCTTAGAAAGTTTTGCAGTATATGCAGGTAGCTGACACGCAGCAAAAATTTTTGTAAATAATTCTACTTAAAAAAAAAATTTCAAGGCATGGAGGAAACAAAATACCAAGAGCCAGGCAGAATGAGGAAGTAAGGACTGAGGTGTGAAGTTCAGTTACAGTCAAACCATCTTTTGAGGAAGAAACAACCAGCCAATCAACAAGGCCCATCTAGGCCAAGTAACTCCTTAAAGGCCTGCCCAAGCCTTAAATCAGGGCACCAGCACTTTCTCTTGTTCATCTGTCTGCCTGCTTCCCTCAGCAGTGTATTCAGAAACCTTTGCTTCTCCTATATATTAAAAAATTCCCTTGCAAAAAGTACTATATGCTCTTTGTAAGAATTCTTAAACACTGAACAACTTAAAATAGTTTCACAATGCATAGGGTTAACCCCTGTTAATACCTTGATATGTATTCATCCAGAGTATTTTCTTTTTTAAACAAATGGAATTACATAAATGACTGAATGATTGTAGTAATTATCGTAAATACTATTACGTTTTACTGTGATTACTGATATTTTTAATAAAATCGGGAAAGGATTTGCCACTGCTTTCTGAGGATTATTTTGTAGTATGAAGCAGTCAGTTGGAATATTATATTTGTCTTAGAGTTTAGATTTAAGTAAGAAGTTTTGTATTGTGTGGCTTGGATATTAAGGGTTAGTGCTTTTCCGTACAGTTTTACATTATAACATGGTGGTGTCCCCATCAGGAGATGTTATTAGACCTGGGACAGAGCAAGGGATAATGGGTGTTAGATTAATTAAATATTTAATACTTTGATAAGTGATGACCTTACCAGTGGGTCTGGAATATTCAAATCCATTGGCTCCTTATGATCTAGGTAGCTTATACTGCCCCCGTTAACCATGCAGTGGTTTTTAATGGCATCATTAGTTTGTAATGAAATATTGCTGGTCTGAGAGCTATTCTGTTTCCACCAAGTGTTTTATCTCTAGTTTGGTCTATTATGTGTTGATTTTATAGTTTTAACTCTTGAGGGACATTATTCCTTTCATTTTTAGTGTTGGTAACACTATTTGATCCTGAAGGAAGTCAAAATTTTAGGCTGTATCTTTATAAATTTTAAATTACTCCAGGTTGTAATTGGTAACATAGATATTTTATTTGCTCAGTAGCAAAAAGTTTATTTCATTTACTTACTAGAACTACCTCATTCTTCAGGCAGTTTGATTTTTCTAGTGTAAACTTACATAGAGGTAAAATAAATAAATTAAAAACCTTTTTTTTATCTGCCCATTTGATGACCAAATATACTTGACAGTTTCAAGTGTCACCTAGAACACAAATTTTCTTGTTTATTTGCAGGAATGTAGTAAGCCACAAGAAGCATTTGGCTTTGAACAAGCAGCCAGGGACTATACACTTCGTACTTTTGGGGAAATGGCAGATGCGTTCAAATCTGATTACTTCAACATGCCAGTCCACGTATGTACATCTATACTGCTTTGATTTAGGATGTTAGTAACTTTTTTTTTTTCTTTTTGGCAGCACTGGGGTTTGAACTCAGGTCCTCACACTTGCTAGGCAGGCGCTCTACCTCTTGAGCCACTCTACCAGCCCTAGCTTTTGAAGAAAAAAATCTACCTAAGAACAGATTTGAGTTGAAACTTCACTCTGAAAGCCATTATGTAGAATGGAACTTTCAATGCTTAGTAGTATTAAAAATCATTCTGATTTTTCATTATAAGATTTTACTAAAGACACCTCTTTCCCACAACTTCAGCAACTGTAACAGCAAACCATCAACAGTCCTTTTAGCACAGCACATGTAATTTAAAGAAAACTTCAGCCTTTATTGAATGATTGTGTGCCGAGCAGTGTGCTGTGCTTGGGACATGTTTATTAATATGTTGTTGTATAATCTAAATTAGTATTGTAAACTTCACAATGAGCTTCTGGTTCTATTTCTCCCTTTTTCACTTATAAGTATTAAGCAGGTTTCATTCAGTATTCTATCAGAACAGTACACAAAGTTAAATGGTTTCTACAATAATTCTGGATATTTAAGATGTAGTTTTCCTCAGTTCTACTATGTGCTTCAGTAAACCTCATGCAGGTAGATCTGTAGTTGGATTAGTGTCTTGGGATGATTACTGAAGACAGGTGAGAATATTTATCCCTAGGCTTATCCCAATAGCTGTATCAATTTATGAGACTCCAGCAATGTGTGAGTGAACATGTTTTCCCTAACGTCTCTACATCTGCTAGTAATTACTTAAAATGTTTGCTTGTTTAATGGTCTTAAATTCACTTAAAAGATGAAGGCACTGAGAACAGACATTTAAGTTACTTGCCTCGTGACTTAAATCAGATTATCAACAGACCCTTGACACTCAGCCTGATGGCTCTTTATTCTAGGGCATGCTGCTGCAAATTATTTTCTCTTTTTGTTCGTAATCTGCTTCCTGTCTTTTTCACCATGGTTGCCAACATTACTGTCAGCCAGGTCTAGTGAAACAAATGAAAGGATGGACTCAGATGATGTGTCCTAAGCCTTGAAGTAGAAAGCATCATTCAAACCCAGCTGACCCATTATTACTATAGTCACCAGCCAAGTTGTGTGCTGCATTTCTCAAAACACAAAAATATTCCCAGTTTGTAGATGGCAGTATTTTATTTTCCTTGAGTCCATTTTACAATTGTGGCTGCATTTGTGATAAAGGAACATGTTTTTTTTGAGACAGGATCTCACTATGTAGTCCAGGCTGGCCTAGAACTCAAGATCCTCCTGCTCTGCTTCCTAATTGCTGAGATTATAGGCATGTACTACCACAGCCAGCAAGAAACATGAATTTTTTTTTTCCTGTAGCACTGGGCATTGAGTTTAGGGGATTGTGCTTGCTAGGCAATTGCTCTACCACTTGAGTTGAGTCCCCAGTCTGCAATATGAGTTCTTAATCAATTCTTATGCTTCTTAATTGTAAAATTCCTTTTAGAAGATAAGAGTTGTTGCCTGAACTGCCTGGGATCAATTATGGCACATTATGGACAGAATTTTTCTGATTCCTAACACTTAAATAGTGAGTTTGTGAATAAATGAGAAAGCTTACTTCTTTTTTCCTCTTCCTTGTATTTCCAGATGGTTCCTACAGAACTGGTTGAAAAAGAATTTTGGCGCTTGGTAAGCACTATTGAAGAGGATGTCACAGTGGAGTATGGAGCCGATATTGCTTCAAAGGAGTTTGGCAGTGGATTTCCTGTTCGAGATGGAAAGATCAAACTGTCCCCTGAGGAAGAGGTAGGCCCACTCCATGAGGACTTTTACTTTGGGGAGTTCTGCCTTTGAAGCTGTTGTGGAGCAGATCCTTGCTCTAAAAACACTGGATTAATAGCAGCATTACTGTAAAAAATAAAAGCCTATGTAAGTGCCTTGAAAATTGAATTATGTATTGATATTCTGTTTGGTCAGCTCGAAGTAATTTGTGATTACTTTCAGTAAATCCTTAATTATTAGAGTTTTAATGATTTCAAGAAAAGTTGGAAGTCCATACAGATTCCTGTCACTGCCACTGCGTTACAGTGATGGGGGAAAATTATATACTGCCCTTTGCCATCAGATTCCATAACCTTGTTTTCTCCTTCTGAAGAAAATCTGAGGGATATTGAACCATACAAATTCATGTTTGAATCTTGATGTTTACGAGTCTACTGTTTCCACACCAGCATGCTTCCAAGAAGATTTCTATTCTTATTCTGGTAGGACGTTGAATTAAAAAAAAAAAAATCTAACATAGGCACAGAAAAATATAATTAGATATGTGGAGTTTGGTGAATTTTCACAAACTGGCCACACCTGTGTAATCAGCACTAGAACAAGAACTAGGATTTTCTCAGAAGCTCTCCTTTGTTTTTTCTTTATTACCTTTCCTATTCCATGACAACAGTGTCCTGACTTCCAACACCATAGATTAGTTTGACTGTATTTGAACTTTTTATTTTTTGGCAGTACTGGGGTTTGGACTCTCAGAGCCTTGCACTTGCTAGGCAGGTGGTCTACTTGAGCATGCCCTGAGCTCTTTTTTTTTTTTTGAACTTTATGTAAATGGACTCACAGTTTATGTTCCTCTATCTCCCAAAAAAAAAAAATGTATACACTGTACAAATCCTTTTTAATCTACAGGCATCATAGAAGTCAGTGTAGTAGCCTGTCTCCTTCCTCCCCCTTTCCTGGCCCTTTTATTTTGAATGAGTCTGTTTTCATACAGCTTTTAGAAAACCAGTTCTAAAGTGTTAGCATGTTGTAGCTAAAACTTTATCCTCCTTTGTCTTATGTTTTAGGAATATCTTGATAGTGGCTGGAATTTGAACAATATGCCAGTAATGGAGCAGTCTGTTCTTGCTCACATTACTGCTGACATATGTGGCATGAAACTCCCTTGGTTATATGTGGGAATGTGCTTTTCCTCCTTCTGTTGGCATATTGAAGACCACTGGAGCTATTCAATCAACTACCTGCATTGGTGAGAAGTTCCACATAGAGCCTATGAACAGAGCAGTATGCAAGCTGGGTAGGAAAAAGTTCCCTCTTCCTCTCCGATGTGTCTTAACTGTGTGAAGAGTAATGAGCTCCCTTGTGTTTTCACTACTGGTAAACCAGGCATCTTGTCAAGTTAAGACAGTGGTTCCTAATGCTTCCTACAAAGTCCATGCATCTTCTGAAACTGCACACACACACAATTTTGCAGGTATAGCATGTTTCTGGGGACATGATACAGTTTTTATGTGAAGTAAATATGTCTTCACTCACAGGTAGGTTAAAAAGCACTGTGCTTTGCTTTCACTGGAAATCTTATTAGGTATCAGTGGCAGCATTGGTACCCCCTTCCCTTTGGGAAGTCTGTGGAATGGTCAACTTCCTTTTTGCGATGCTGAATTCTGGCATTATACACTTTGTAGCGTGAGCCTCATCTTCATGTGTGTGGCAGACAAGAGGCAGGTACTTGGACTTCTTTACTGTTCACACTATTCAACCAAAGCTGTTTCTTCACATCTGTTTTTTCCTCTTCATTTCTCTTGCTTCTAAACACAAAAATACCTGAAGGTCTATAATTCACTCAAAACCCCACGCAAGGAATTTGAAGATGGGCAAGAAAGAGGGAGCTGGCACATGTATGACAGCATCAATTCTGTTTCCTAGCTGTAAAATGAAGATGATATTTACTGTACTTCACAGAGATGTTATGGATTAATTGGTTGACAATATAAAGTGTTTTGAAATGTAAGAGCTCTTCAGAAATGCTAATTGCCTTGTTAGTGTTTGATTTAACCTCATCTATCAGAATGGGCAAGGGAAAAGGAAGGTGGAGACTTGCCATCCATTGTCAGTTGCTTTAGGAAATTGTGGCAATCACATATTCAGTAGCAAATGTGAAACTTTGTATTCTTAAGAAATTCTAGAGGTCTGCGTTTTGTAAAGGTCAGATGAAAATGGGAGCTGGGAGAAGGACTCAGATGGAAAGTCTCATGCTTGAACTTTATACTTGCCGGGGTAAATGCATTGCGTATGTTCAGATCACATTTCTAATGGTGCTTCTTTGGTTTGAACATTCCTTTGTAGCTTAGTCTTACCGAGCAAGGTCTCAAAAATGCGAATGGGTTAGCCATTTTGTTTGCCTTGGTGTTGCAAATTGATTTGCTTTTATAATTTACAGGGGTGAGCCAAAAACCTGGTATGGAGTTCCAGGGTACGCTGCCGAGCAACTAGAAAATGTAATGAAGAAGCTCGCTCCAGAGCTCTTTGTGTCCCAGCCAGATCTGCTCCATCAGCTTGTGACCATCATGAACCCCAATACTCTGATGACTCATGAAGTGCCTGTATGTTTTGGGTTAATTCTTCTGTCACTCACACTTAATTCACCTCTTCTCTTTTTCTTTATTATTCACTTTTTTGTAACGTTGATTTGGTTTTGTAATTTCCATGGTAACTTGATAGCAGAAACAGCTGTTTGCTCCAGCTTTGTACTATGTAGCATTTAACCCAATGGGCCTAGATGCTCAGACACCATAAAAATTAATTTGTTGCAGCTAGTACTTAGATTACTGGAAAGCCTTGCTTTGCAAATAATAAATGTGATACATTTCGACATACAGTTCATTGGTTTCAGTGCCTTCACAGTTGTACAGCCGTCCCCATTAATGCCTTCTGAACTATAACTTTTTTATAGTTAATTTTTTATAACTTCAATCAACAAAACAAAAGCTTTAAAAAATAATTACCTGCCAGTATAAATTGGTTTACTGTGAAAATGGCTACATTCTGTTACAATTAGATATAAACTCTGGTGTCAGAATTTTTCATACTGTGTCCCTACTTTAATTTTATTCAGTTTACATGCTCTTAATTTTGATTGAAGAACTGAAATGACATGCTTAGTAGAATTTAGTTATTTATACCCCTACCCCCAGTTATGCTTATTTTCAGAGAAAATTTAATGTCTTGAGCTTGGATTTAGGATTCTTAGTATATGACTGGAAGGTACTTTTGATGCTATTTTCTCTTGTGGCCACTATATGAAATGACACTCAAATGCTTGGTTCCTTTTGGAGCAACTCTGAAGATATTTGGGGAGGCCACATTGAAATGCTTATGTTTGAAGAGTCCATCCATCCTGATTAACTAAATAAAAAGAAATGATAGATTACTAGTATTCAAGTGAATTCTTGATCTTGCTATGACCTAAATTTTATGCTTTAGGGTTCACAGGCTAGTCAGTGGGGATCATAGTTTTGCACTTTGAGGGATCATAATTATGCACAGACCATAGCTTAGAAAATAATGACCAAGGGTTTAGGGATGTAACTCAGTGGTTGGTTGCCTGCCTAGCATCCTCAAGGTTCTGGGTTCAAGCCCCTGCATTGCAGAAAAACAAATAAAATCCCCAAAATTTAGCTGAGTATGGTGATGCACACCTGTAATTCCCATACTTGGGAGGCTGAGGCAGGAGGATCACAAGTTTGAGGACAGCCTGGGCTACACAGTGAGAGCCTATCTCAAAAAAAAAGTGAGAAAAAAAATAATGACTGACAAGGACCAAAATTTTGCCATCTCTTTATTGTTAGTATTTTCCTCATTGATTGTTTCCTTCCTCACAGTGATTGGTCTTTTCAATATGTCAGGTAGCTTGCCCTATTGAAGACCTGGCTGTCTGGTTCTTCAAAGTTTGAGGAAACCATGAGGGACCAGATTCTGAAACTATAGAAACAGGTGAATGAATTCCTTCATTGAGGGATTCATAATTTAAGGAAAAAGATGGTCCATGTTTATACAGATAATGGAAAGGATGGTGTGATTTAACAGGGCTGTCAGTGGGAGACTGAATCCAAGAGCTTCCTAAGTGAGATGTCCTCTGAAGTGGAGTTGTTCTTGTACTTACTAGTGAGTATGGCAAAGGGTGAGGTAGGGGAGGCAGGAAGTAGTCCACTAGAAGGGATCGTGCTCATGTGATAAGTGGTCTTAAAACTTAAGCCTGTATCTGCCCTCAGAAACATACTTCCATGCACATGGCTGATCTGCCCCTGTCCCTGCCCCTCCCCTGAGCTACTGGTATTTTCTGGTCTGGGTGGGACTTGATAATTTGCATTTCTAACAGGTGTTCAGTTAATGACTCTGTTGTTCTAGGGGACCACATTTTGGATAACTATTAATGTAGAGATATAAAGATGAAAAGAACTAACGTTATATAAGTTCAGTGTAACAGTATGTATGCTTAGAGCAGTTCAGGTGCTTTTGGGGTGAGTTGGTTGGAAGGGGGAAATGATGGGAGGTAAATTTGAGCTCCAAACAGGAGGAGCTCTGTATGTTAAGAGATTCTTGAAATAGAGTAGATTTTCTTTGATTGGTGATAGAAAGTCCAGTTTGGAGATAATATTGCATTGGAATATTCTTGATTATAGCTGTATTTAGAAAGATGTGTCTTAATCCTAGATGCAGCTAGATTTTTGTGGCACAAAGAATGTTTTCTGTTCAAATACTAATTAACTCTGGTAGTCTGGGATACTGCTCCATCTTGTGGCAGAAACTAGATGATTATTCTACCTCAAGAAGTTTTGTTTTCTTGCTCACTTTTAACTGGCAGAAAGCTGCATTTTTTTTTTTTTTTGAGAGTCATCTAATAGTCTATGCCCATATTGTCCTCATGAGAATGTTACTATCTAATAACCTCAGTATTCTTCTCTTTAGGTTTACCGAACGAATCAGTGTGCTGGGGAGTTTGTGATTACATTTCCAAGAGCCTACCATAGTGGTTTTAACCAAGGTTTTAATTTTGCTGAAGCTGTTAATTTCTGCACTGTTGATTGGGTATGTAATTATGTTATTGAGCTTTTTAAAATCTATTGTTTCTCTTTGGAAATAGTATATAGTGCTTTAAAAACTGTTAATGATATAAGTGTCAATGAATGAAGCACTCCCATTCCCCATACAACTAATATGATTCACACGCACGCGCGCACGCACGCGCGCACGCACGCACACACACACACACACACACACACACACACACACACACACACACACCCAAAAACCCTGTGTATAGTTGTTTCAACTGATTGCTGCTCATCTGGCCAGTCTGCAAATTCTTCACCAGTTCACAGTGAGGTAAGGAACTTGTATCACACTGTAAATCAAGAATGTACTAATAAACACACTGCTTAATTCAGCTGATTTTTTTCTTTTGTAATAATAGTTGTTGGTGGTATAGGGGGTTTGGTCTCAGGGCCCAGCACTGAGGTACTCCACCACTTGAGCCATGCCACAGCCCCAAGATTTGCTTTTTTGTAGTTGTGGCGTTTTTTGTTGTTGGCTTCTTTTCCTTTTTTGAGACTAGCCCTGAGCTTGTGGGTGCAAGCCAACCATCTACCTTAGCCTTCTAAGTAGCCTGACTTGCAGCAAGACTTTTGATAAAGAAATGAGTTTGTTTATTTCCTGGCTGAAGCTTATTGCAAACTGGTATCAAATAGTTCCATTGTGAAACTTTGTATAGATTGGCTTAAGTTATCCACAATGCAGCTATTTCATGACACATTTGTTTTCCTGTATAAATTTGAATTTTTGTTAGTAATGCTTCTTTCCATTGACATAAAAAAATTGTCTAGATTAAGTATGGGCAGTATTAAATCTAATGAATTGTAACTTCGTTACAGTGCTTTTCTGATGAGTAGTATTAGCTGTATCTAAGCTTATTTTCCATTATAAAGGTTTTGGAGTATTGTTATTACCTGAAATAGGTTGAGCATACTAATTTAGCACAGTTGTTTCAAGAAATGTGTAAATTCATATTTCCAATTAGATTCTCTATTATTATGCAAGTTCATTTATTGTTAATACATTTTTTTCTAAACTGCTTTTTAATCAAGATACCTAATATGCTGTACCTTTGGGTTGTAAAGACAAATAAGACCCAAGGCCTGGTCTAAGAATCTTGTCTGGTTTTAAGATTGAGAAGTGGTAAGTGTTTTGACCCAGATTGTAATGTTTGGTAATGTGATAGTAGAAGTCAGAAGTTTTTGGAAATACATGAGATGAATGTCAAATATTTCCTTCTATCTTTTGACACAGTTACCATTAGGCCGACAGTGTGTGGAGCATTATCGCTTGCTTCACCGTTACTGTGTGTTTTCCCATGATGAGATGATCTGCAAGATGGCTTCCAAGGCTGATGTGCTAGATGTTGTAGTGGCTTCAACTGTTCAGAAGGACATGGCCATTATGATTGAGGATGAGAAAGCTTTAAGGGAAACTGTCCGGAAATTGGTAAGGTTCTGGAAAACAGCTCCATTGTGAAACTTTGTATAGACTGCCTTAAATTATCCACAATGCAGCCATTTCATGACACATTTGCTTTCCCTTATAAGTTTGAATTTTTGTTAGTAACAATACTTTCCACTGACATAAAAACAACTGTCTAGATTAAGTATGGGCAGTATTAAATCTAATGCATTGTAACTTTGTTATAGTGCTTTTCTGACAAGTAGTATTAGCTATATCTGTGCTTATGTAATTGGTTATAACTTCCTACAGTTAAGTACTTTAGTGACATTTTAAGAACTCTTTCCTTAGTGTATTTAATTTCCTTTAAGGCCATTCTAATAGATGATGTGTAGTACTATTTCATTGTCATTTTTATTTGCATTAACTATTGTGTGCTTATTTTTATCCCCTGTACCTCTGTCTCTTTGATCAAATGTCTATTCATATGTCTTGTTTTTTAATTTATTTTTAAGTTAGATTGTTGTAAGAATGTTTCACTCTGTACACCACTGCTTTTTCACAAGTGTTCGGCTCATGTTCTCATTAAGTCTGATTTCTCTTTGTCTCTCATGGGTCTCTTGTCTTTCACAGAGCACTTTTTCATTTTGATGAAATCCAGTTTATTTATATCTTGTCTTTTGTAGATCTCTGTGAGTGTGTGTGTGTTCTGTTTAAGAAATCTTTGCTTAATTTAAGGCTAGGGTCACAAAGATTCTTCTAGTTTTAAAAACGTCTTGCACTTAGGCCATTAGTTGTTCTTGCACTATTTCTTGAAAAGACTGTCTTTTCTCTTGAATTGTCTTGGTACCTTGGCCAAAAATAAATACATCACATATGTATGTGTCTATTTCTGGATTCTTCTTTTCTGTTAACCTATGTATCTGTCCTGTTGCAAATGCCAAATGGTCTTCCTTACTTTAGCTTTCAAAGAAGTCTTAGAAACCAGTAGTGCAATTCTTCCAGTTTTGTTCTTTATTTAAAAAATTGTCTTGTGTTTTAGTTCCTTTGCTTTTTCATATAAATTTTATTTATTTATTTATTTATTTATTTATTTGCAGTATTGGGGTTTGAACCCAGGGCCTCACATTTGCTACTTGAGCCACTCTGTTGGCCCCTCCATAAAATAATTTGTTTATTGATTTCTACCAAAACAATCCCTATTGGAGATTTTTATTGGTATTACATCAAAATTATGGATAGTTTGGGGGAGAGTTCATATTTTTAACAATACTGAGTTTTTGCATCCGTGGATATTGTATAGATACGTGTTTTATTTGGTACTGTTATAAATGGTACTTGAAAAGTTTTCAGTTTCTAATTGGTTATTGCTAATATGTAGAATTAAAATCAACTTTTGTAGTTTGTATTCTCCTAAAGTTACTTTTAATTTCTGGTAAATTTTTAATGGATTCTGTTTAGAACAGCCATATCTGCAAGTAGTCTCATTGATTTTTTTTTTTTTTTCTTTTCTTTTTTTAGTCCTTAAATGTGACTCTTTTGGTAGAATACCAGAATATTGGCTATCTGGAGCCCATATGGTTCAACAACAGGATATCTACCTTCCCCTGATAGTTTATAGTTGGGGGAAGCCTTTCTAAAAGATTTAAATGACTTAACCAAGGTCTTACATCAATAATGGTAGCTAACTTTTGCAACTTTGAGAACTAGATTTTTTTCTCCAGATGTGGAATTTGCAAATTAAAATTGGGTATAAACTATATGATTCATTCTCAGCTATAACCCATAGAGTTAGTCCTAATCTTAGTTTAAACAAATAATTTCAACTATCTCCATCCCATAAAGTCCTTTTTAATGATCAATTCCAGATTTAAAATGGAAAATTCATTCATTAGCATTTTTTAACTACTTGTCTTGGTTGGTCCATATAATTGTCAGAAATAAAATGGTCAAAAAATTAAAATAAAACAAAGGAACCTGATGGCTCATGAACCAACCTAACCAGGATTGGCCTAAAGCTTGGATTTGGACCAAAAGTCCATCTCCTTAGCTCCTGGTTGTAGCTTAGGAGAAGAGATGGGTGGAATTTCACTTAGAGTGACAAAATATACATCCCAGAAAGGCCTTCTAGAAGTCAGGTGCTACAAGCTACAGTTGAAATGTACTGGTTTAGGACCTTACTTTTCTTGACAGTCTTTCATCTAGGAAATGCTTTGTAATGACTCAAGTCTCTTCTGTTGCGCAGTTTTTCTGCCCTGTTCGATAGCTAATGATACAGTTTTAGATGATTTTTCATGTGAGGGTGAGAGATCATTTAATGCACAATTCCTGCATGATCATCTTTCCCAGTTGCCCTATATTCCTTCCTTTCCTTTTTATGCTTTTTGGTTTTTTGAGACAGGGTCTCACTGTGTACCTTAGGTTGGCTTCAGACTCACTATGTAGCCCATACTGGCCTTGAACTCAGGATCTTCCTGCCTCAGTCTCCCAGTTGCTGGGGTTCCAGGCATGTGCCACCTGAGGTCTATTTTTATGGCTTTTTTTAGCTTCTCCCACAACACCACTCTGATACTCATAAGTATTTCCTCAGCAGTAGAAAGCATACATGTTTTCTTTGCTTTTGTCTGTACTTAAAATGTGGACAAGGCCAATTTAAAGTAGGAAAGACAGCTAATCTTAGTGTTATAGTCCTATCAATAACTGTTTTCATATTCAGATCAAAATGGCTGAACATATGGCCAAAAAGATATTTTCCCTATACAAATGAAGTAGGTGAACGTGTTGGTGTTTGCTGGGCCATTGTTAGTTACTTTGTATTCCATACATTTTTAACAGTGAAACTCAACTGTTATTTCATGTTTGTCTTGAAGGCTGTTAGATTATATTATCCTTTGAAAGTCTCTAAAGTACATTTTATTGTAGGGAGTAATTGATTCGGAAAGAATGGATTTTGAGCTATTGCCAGATGACGAGCGGCAGTGTATAAAATGCAAAACTACATGCTTCATGTCTGCCATCTCCTGCTCTTGTAAACCTGCTCTGCTTGTTTGCCTGCATCATGTGAGAGAATTGTGTTCCTGTCCTCCTTATAAATATAAACTGCGGTAAGTACAAGGAATGATTTTCCCTGCTGGAAAGCACTAAATGTTTCATAAAAGCTCAGGGCTGAAATGTCAAATGTGAAACATGTAGTTTCTCCAGCCATGTGTCTCAAGGCTGGCTGCTCTCTTTCCAGGTACAGGTACACTCTGGATGATCTCTACCCCATGATGAATGCATTGAAGCTTCGAGCAGAGTCTTATAACGAATGGGCCTTGAATGTGAATGAAGCTTTGGAGGCAAAGATCAACAAGAAGAAAAGTACGTAGTACACGAAGTGTGACTTGCTGAGTGGCACATGGGACTGGTTATGATGCAGCCCACTTCAAGCCATCAGCAAAAGAGATTAATGACTACAGCCTGGTTCCATCCTTGGTTAGCTCCTCTGTCCAGGTCTCCAGAGCATTGGTGGAGGTTTTAAAACCAAGGGTGGATGAGTCAGATCCCCTTACATCAAAGTGAAGTCTTTATAATTGTGCAAGATGGCTTATTTAACAAAATCTTCACTGTTAGGAAGCTGAATAACATTTTATTTATGTATTCTATTTTTAAAAATAGATCTTTCCAGGCACTGGTGGCTCACGCCTGTAATCCAAGCTACTCAGGAGGATCACTATTCGAAGCCAGCCCAGGCAAATAGTTCTTGAGACCCTATTTGGAGAAAACCATTACAAAAAAAGGCTGGTGGAGTAACTCAAGGTACAGGTCTTGAGTTCAGGCCCTGGTACAAAGGGGGTGGGGGGAGATCTTGCAGAAGGCAGCATTGGGACATTAAATTAGGAGTCTCTGAAATGCTGGTTTATCACTTCTTAGTTCTAACCAAAGTGGTCCCTGGCACTTGTCATTACCTTTGAAAGTTACCATTTGCCATCTCTTTCACAGTTTCACTTGCTTTGCTTTCTGTAGCCGAACAGGTAACTCTCCCCCTTTCATTTAGGGGAAGGGAGGAATATCACTGTCTCTGAGTACAACAGTCACTGGCAACTACAGAAGGAAATGTAGGAGAGCAGTGGATCAGAACATAATAAGATTTATATTTGTTTTTCTTTTACAGATTGGTTGCTTTTTTTTCTTTTTGGGTGGTGAGGGGCAGGTACTATGGTTTGAACTCAGGGCCTATCCTTGAGTCACTCTACCAGCCTTTTTTGTGAAGGGTTTTTTTGAGATAGGGTCTCTTGAACTGTTTGCCAGGGCTAGCTTTGAACTGTGATCCTCCTGAGTAGCTAGAATTGCAAGTGTGAGCCACTGACACCTGTTTTTTGTGTATCTTAAGTCCATCAGACCTTAACGCTTCCACATTTATTACCAACTCTCTTGTTTAAAATTGCCTTGACCAGGAACCCCTTCCAAAAAAAAAAAAAATCAGATGAGCAAATTTATTAATGGTTTAGAACACTATAATAATTTTTAAGTTACATTTATGGATAAGAAGTGACAAATGCACTCTTTCCCCTCAATTTCATAACAGTAATAATTACTATAATGAGGACAGAAAAGGTGACTGTTTTCTAAATTATCAGGTCTCGTCAGCTTCAAGGCTTTAATTGAAGAATCAGAAATTAAGAAATTCCCAGACAATGATCTTTTGCGTCACCTTCGTTTGGTCACACAGGATGCAGAGAAGTGTGCCTCTGTTGCCCAGCAGTTGCTTAATGGCAAGAGGCAAACCAGGTGGGTACTTTGCATGTTTGAGTTTGGCTCTGTGGCACTGAACTGGGAAACCTGTTGTGCCTGGGTTTTGATGCTTGATTCTTGTGACACTAGAACCTGTGAGTGGTGAACACATGTTCTCATAGAGCTTCCTTGGGCCCTTGTCTTTATAGATACCGATCTGGTGGAGGAAAATCCCCAAACCAGCTGACAGTGAATGAACTCAGACAGTTCGTCACACAATTATATGCTCTTCCATGTGTTCTCAGTCAAACGCCATTGCTAAAGGTAACCATTGGAGCCTGTGTTGGAGCACTGTGGTAATCCTGTACCTTATAAATAAACTGAATTGACATTATTAAGTAGTCCTCTTTGGTGGACAATTTGTGTATTTATTTTCAGATATTTTAAACAACACATTGAGTGGTGAGTGATGTGTGTGTGTAAAAAGACATTAAAATAGGCCAACAGAGGGGAGAGAAAGTTGAAAATTTTACTATGAAAGTAACTAACAGCTAGTTCTTATGTATTACCTTACTTACCCATATTGCTACTAAAATCAAGTGGATGGCTGAGAATAACATTGACGATGAGCTTAAGATTCTAAGTCTGAAAGAAGCCAATGACTGAAATTACTGTTTTGATTAGCCAACTTGCACTTCTGTGTTTGCTTATTTGTTTTCTCTTAGGATCTCTTGAATCGTGTAGAAGATTTCCAGCAGCATAGTCAGAAACTACTTTCTGAGGAAATGCCTAGTGCTGCTGAGCTGCAGGACTTGCTTGATGTCAGCTTCGAGTTTGATGTTGAACTTCCGCAGCTTGCTGAGATGCGTGTCCGTCTGGAGCAGGCCCGATGGCTAGAAGAGGTGCAGCAAGCTTGCCTAGAGCCCAGCTCCCTGACTTTAGATGATATGAGACGTCTCATAGACCTTGGGGTGGGACTGGCCCCATATTCCGCAGTAGAGAAAGCCATGGCCCGGCTACAAGAACTGCTGACAGTGTCAGAGCATTGGGATGACAAAGCCAAGAGTCTCCTCAAGGCCAGGTAAGAAAGCAGACTTACACCTCTCCCCTGGGGAAGGTCGGATTGGCATTTGGCAAGTCATTTGGTAACAATAGGCATTTTGGCAAATGTTCAGTTGCTATCATTGTACACGTAGAATACATGTGAAGGCACTGAGGCATTTGGGTCTGCTTTGGAACTTGGGTAAAGAATATTAATATTTTCTTATTTTACTAATTATGAGATGGATGATTTAAATGGACATGCCTTTTCCAAGGCTAAGATTAAATTAAATTTTTGTGGATCCCAGAATATGGTCTTTGAGAGAAGAAAAAAGTTTACAAATGGGTGGAACTGTTTAAATCTACAGTTAGTAAATGAGGTCCCAAGGATTCTTACAGAGAAACAGCTGAGAGTTAATATGCATTGTGCTGTAAAATGAAGATATGCAGATTAATTTTCAGTAGACACAGGACTATATATTTGTGCTATTGCTTAGTAAATCAGGGTACTTAACCTGTGATTGAGAGATTAACTGGACATAGGCTAGCCAGCTGAGGTGGAGGAAAGCATGAGGCCTTTCCTGAGCTTGCTTTCTATGTGGCAGACTTTGTTAGTCTAGTTGACAACCTAAAGCACTAAAAAGTGTAGGTTGTAGACTTTTTTTTGGCAGGGGGACGGGGTTCCTTGGGTTTGAACTAAGGGCTTACACCTTGAGCCACTCCACCAACCCTTTTTTGTGATGGTTTTATTTTGATATAGGATCTCGGCAACTATTTGCCTGGCCGGCTTTGAACCATGATCCTCATGGTCTCTGCCTCCTGAGTCCTGAGTAGCTAGGATTACAGGAGTGAGCCAATGATGCCAGGCTTAGACACTCTTTTATAATCCCAAAACAGTAGTCACTGAGCAGAGAGGGTGACAGATTTTTTGGTGCTGTGCTTTGAGTTAATACTGTAGAGAATTTTAATTTTCCTAGTAAAACTGTGAGTCTTCACAGTGTATCTCATTTACCAGAGAAGAAATTACCCGTCCGTAAGTTAAGTCGCCTTATGCAGATGGAAGTTTGTGGTAACGCCATCGTAAAATCAGGAACAAGCAGAACCTGAATGCTCCATTGCTCATTTGCTTTTTATCTTGATCACTCTGAGATTTTAGACAGCCGTTTGAAACGAGTTAGCTACCTAGTAATTAGTATCAGCTGCAAAGACTTACTTACCATCCTGAATTTTTTTTGCAATGATTTTTCTTGTCTTTTTAGTAACCATAAGAAAATGAACCATCATTTAAAATGCTGAGAGGTCTTTGTGCTTCATTTTTGCAGACCAAGGCATTCATTGAGCAGCCTTGCTACCGCAGTAAAGGAGATTGAGGAAATCCCTGCGTATCTGCCCAATGGTGCAGCTTTGAAAGATTCAGTGCAGAGAGCCAGAGACTGGCTTCAAGATGTAGAGGGGCTGCAGGTAGGTAAAAACAAATGTCCTGAATGGGTATTGATGAAGAGCAGTAACTGAAAAGCTATAAAGGGTAATGTGTTGAATCTCTTCTCACCATACATATTCAGTGTTTTTTGGAGTTGACTAGTTTACTGATTCTATTCAGCCTTTTTGGATATACTTGTTAGCTGTTACCTAACAAGCTGGCTCAGGAGAGATCATTCAACCATCAAGAGATGGTTGGGTTGCTGGGGAGGGAGGCTCTTCCATAGCAAACTTGAATCCTTGGTTGCAGATAAAAGGGGGAAAAAAGCTAAAAACGAAGTTGTGAGAAAAGGTGCAGTTTTTAAAACTCTTTGATATGTCTGATTGCTTATTGTTGGCTTATCAGCCTTGGAGGGCAGAAGCTTAGGTACAGTAGGATCAGTCAATATACCATGTACAGTAACATGGCTAAAGTAGGCCACAGGCCCAGAATTTTCAAAACCAACTTCCTGATCTTACAAAAAAATGAAAACTTCCCATAGTCAAGTAGTTATCATGAAGTGTTTGTGGTGGCCCTTTGTTATTGGTTTATTTAGTGACTTGCATATAAGTTTTAAAAAGAGCATTGAATGTCACTTGTAGCATTACTAAGGTACCAAAAGAATGCCTTTTATGTTTACCCAATTTTTAGCTGGATAACTTAATTTGAATAGTGGTTGATGGGAGCTGGGCATAGAGGTACATGTCTATAATCCCACTCTGGAGACTGAGGCAGGAGGATAGTGAATTTAAGGCCAGACTGGGCTACATAGTGAGACCCTATCTCAACAGCCACTCTTCCCCGCTTCCTCCAGAAAAAAAAAAAAAAAAAAAGTATGTATCTCTCTATTATAAACCAGTAGGTCTACCAAGAGAAGAAAAGTCTCAAGTTTTATTTCATTCGATCCTTCAGATTCTAGAAATGAAACACTGTGGTTTTCTGGATATTTGTGTTAGCCACTGGCTAACGAAAAATACCAAATAGGAGAGTTCTGGACAAATTATTGCAACGAAATGTCATCATCTGTTGTAGTTAATAGGGAAAAAAAAAAGAAACATTGTAGGAGATTATGTAAATAAGGATGACCTTAGAAAGCCAAAGAAAAAGAAAGTATTTACTATGTCCCTAAGCCTCCTTAATGGGATTTTTTTTTCCTCCACCAGCCTTTTTTTTTTTTTTTTTTCCTCAGTACTGGGGCTTGAACTCAGGTCCTTCACCTTGAGCCACTCCACCAACCTTATTTTTGTGAAGGGTTTTTCAAGATAGGGTCTCGTCAGCTATTTGCCCAGATTGGCTTTGAACCGCGATCCTCGTGATCTCTGCCTCCTGAGTAGCTAGGATTATAGGCATGAACCATCAGCACCTGGCTATGAACTTTTATTTTTGTCAAATTTTTTTCAAACTATCCATAGGGACCAATGTGATGAGTGAATTTAAAAGGGTATAAATAGAACAGAGGAGCCACAATGTATGTCATATTAACATTTGAATCCATTGGAGCTTAGCACAATGTAGGTTTCTCTGGCTGTTAAGTGAATGAACAAATAGTGCTCCTACTCCCACCACTGTTGGTCAGCTGGCAAGTTTTGTCACTGTTAATTTAACATGTTGAGTTCATGGAGTGATCTGAATTGTCCCATCGATCATGGACCAGTCCAAACTATGCTTTTACTGTTTTATGTGTAAGTATTCTTTCTAAGTTGCTATAATTTTTCTTAATTTATTAGGCTGGAGGACGTGTGCCAGTGTTAGACACACTCATAGAACTTGTAGCAAGAGGCCGATCTATCCCAGTACATCTGAATTCTTTGCCAAGACTGGAATTACTAATAGCTGAAGTTCAGGTTTGGAAAGAATGTGCTGCTAACACGTTCTTGACTGAGAATTCTCCATATTCTCTTTTGGAGGTAAGTGTGCAGCCAGCTCATCTGCAAGAACTTAGGTCTCCCGGCTTGAAAAGCCATGTAGCCCATCCCAAGCAAAGGTAGCATCATTGATAGATCTTGTTCTGTGAGTTGTTTTTAGCACCTTTTAAATTTTTCTGCATACATTCAGTATCTAAAGAAGAACTTTTTTTTCCTACTGGGTGAAGTTCTCTATATTACTTGATCATGCTTCTCTACCTGAATTTACCCTGATACATGATCTCACTTACCTTTCATAAGTGCTTTAGCTATGCCTTTTTATTTGGTGGAACTGGAGTTTGAACTCAGGGCCTCATGCTTGCTAGGCAAGTGGTCTACCACTTGAGCCACGCCTTCAGCCCTTTTTGCTTTATTTTTCCAGGAGGGGTCTCATGCTTTTTGATCTGGCTAGCCTCAGACTGTAATCCTTTCACTTCTGCCTCCCATGTAGCCAGGATTACAGGCGTGTACCACCATGCCTGACCCTAGCTGCACTTTTTATATTTTCTGTATGCTAAGCATGCTTATTGCATTATCACTGGAATCAGTTGGTATATATCATATTTTTACTTTTTTTTTTAATGAGTCTAGGGTTTGAATTCAGGGCTTCATGCTCACAAAGCAGGCACTCTACCACTGGAGCTACACCTCCAGTCCATTTTGGTCTGATTATTTTGGAGATGGAGGTCTCTTGAACTGTTTGCCCAATCTGGCCTTAAATTGTGATCCTCCTGATCTTAGCCTCCAAGTAGCTAGGATTACAGGTGTGAGTCACTAGCGTCCAGCTACATTTTTACGTACTGAATTGAATCTGGAATCAAAACCAATCTCTTGTGAGTGAGCCTTGCCTACTTGCCTGCTCTGAGTCTCCTGCCCTAAGGGCTGCATGCGTCGAAGAAAGTACTGGATACTAAGAAAATGTACATCCTTCCTATTGGTTGAGTTATTTGTTCTGCTTTATCTGAAATCCTTTTTACCAGCATTGTACTTTGTTCTACATTAGGTGCTGTGTCCTCGATGTGATATTGGCCTTTTGGGATTGAAAAGGAAACAGAGAAAGTTAAAGGAGCCCTTGTCAAGTGGAAAGAAGAAAAGCACCAAATTAGAGAGCCTGAGTGACCTGGAGAGGGCTTTAACTGAAAGCAAAGAGACTGCTTCAGCTGTGCGTAGTAGGATTTTTTCTTCTCCTTTCTCTTTTGTTGGGGAGGAAATTTCTAACTCTTTCCAGGTTTGTAGGAATATTGGAAAGGCAAGTAGAATAACTTGAAAAGCTGAGTTTTAGTAGAAAGACTGGTTTTTAAATAGATTTAAATGAAATATGCCAGAGCTGGTGGGATATAGCTCAGTGGTAGAATGCTTGCCTGTCATTCACAAGGCCCTTGGTTCAACCCTAACGGTGCAAAAAAGAAAAAGAATAAATAATGCTTAGAGGTGCAGAGATTCAAGGTAGGCCTCCCAGTTTGAGTCTTGCAGACTTAGAATGTCTGTGGGTTAATCCAGAAATGCTGACTTAAGGTTATCAAGGGTAACAGGTAAAACTGCAATATTAATTTACTAACTTCCAGTAATAAGTAATATACTTAAAAGACACTGGAGCTGGGCGTGGTGGCACACAGCTACCATCTTATCACTCAGGAGTCCAAGGCTAGAGGATCATGAGTCTCAGGCCAGCCTGGCTTATATTGTGAGACCATATCTCAAAACAAACAAACAAAAAGTAAATGTAAAATGTACTGAGTACTTATTTGAATCTGGCCTGCATTTAGTAGTGATTACTATTGACTCAAGGTATCATCTTCAACAAGATAAGCAGAGTCTAGCCAACCCTTAGTGAGCACAGTGTCCGGACAGAAAAGGAGACTGCTATGTGATTTGAATGCTTTTAGTGGCACAGTATTGCCCGCCTAGAGTGGAATACAGTCCCATGTCGCTTAGTGATGAGGTAAATCCTGGGAACTGCAGTATTAGGGCAATTTTGTTATTGTGTGAATATTATAGAGTGTACTTACATAAGCTAATATGGCTGCAGTAGACAATACAATCTTAAGGGACACCATTGTATAGACAGTTCACAGTTGACCAAGAGGTTGTTATGTACTTGCTGGTAGAATGAGACTGAATGGGTTCATCGTTGGGTCAGGGCACCTTCCCCCAATCTGTTGCTGCCTGAGCTCTTGTGATTGACATGGGTTTGCCTTGATTTATATGTGTATTTTGACACGTCATTTCTTTGGGGTATATTTATACATTTCTACTACCTGAGCAGTAGTTCTGTGTTTTTAAGATAGCTGTTTGGTTTGCTATTATATTTTTGGTTAATTTTCATAAAGATTAACTGAAAGTGTTAGTCCTCTCTTGAAATGCACATGTCTTTTTGAAACTTTGCATATCGTATCTTAGGTAGATTCTAGTCTGTACCCATCTAGTCCATGGGCTCCTATGTAAATGTCCTATACAGGGTGCTGGCAGCTTGGCTCAAGTGGTAGAGATCTAGCAAGCGCCAGGCCCTGAGTTCAAACCTCAGCACCACACACACACACAAACACACCTGCTATACTTAGTCTTGATTTGTTAGAACCTACCCACCTACCCATCCATCCATCCATCCAGGGTTCTAACCCTGAAAGGTCAGTTACTTGCATTCCATCTCACGCTTTGGAAGGGGGAGGTTACCTTATTATCATGGAGCCCATATATATATTGCTGAAAATTACATTCATCTATAAAATACGTAGATTTTATTTTAATATACCAAAGGGTTTTTTTTGCTAATTTACTTGTAGATCTTTGTTTTTCCTGAATCCCTTATTCATAGATTTTCTTCCCTAATCCAAAAAAATAACGGGAAATTCCTTCTGGCCTATGACTCAGGTTCGCTCATCTGGTGAATCACGGTAGATCTGAAGATGGGCAGGGGACCTTATCCCCTCGGTTCCTTTGTAGCTTCCTGAGCTTTTGTGATTGACTGGATATGATCATTGGGAATTATTTTAACTGACAATCACATTTTGAGGGCATGGAAACAATTGGGAAAATAGAGTAAGTCTCTTGGCCTCTAGCTTTTGTTTCTGGAGGATAAAGCTCCATTTAAAATAAAATGCATGTTTCCCCGTGTATCTGTTCTCTTTCAGTGATATGACAGAGGAGGGCTTTAGTGGGCTAGCGTTTTGTTGTGGACTGGCCAGTGTAGCCTGGCATTAAGTTTGAGTTGGTAGTGGCCAACTCTGACGTGGCTGTTGATTTGAATCTGCCACTCTGCTGTTACTTCATGGTGCATAAATGAATAAATCTAATGCCTAAGCTTGCCTATTTATGGGGTGCCTTGAGTGCAGTAGTAGCAGCTTGGTCTGGTCATGTAAAAGTCCCATTTATGGACTATGTAAATGGTGTTTAGAGAAATACGTTCAGTATCACTGCAGCTTGAGACTGCAGGGTTGATTCTGTTTATGAGTGTTTTCAACTTGTTTATACAGGTTAGCTGAACTTAGCACTTTCCTGGGACTTGGTTCTCTTTAATAAAGAGGAAATACTTCATGTATGAGTACATTGCAGTTTTGCACAGAAAGACAACCTTGCAGAGTATCTGATTTTGTGATGATCTTATAGTATAGTTGTGGGAGGGAGAATGAATCTGGTCAAGTGGTTTCTGTTTAATGTCTTCATGACATTAATGTCCAGCACACCCAGAAAGACCCTAGTGGTGAAGAGCAATGAGAGGCATAGACTACTGCTGTGTAGTGCCTGCTCTGAGCCACTTTGCTATTTCAAGTACCTTTCTAGAAGAACACAAAAGCTAACAGAACTGAAAATAAGTGGAGAGCTTCAGAAGTGATCTACACACAGCGTAAAGTGTCTGCATCTTTGCAGAGAAGTAAAATTTTAGGAGATAAATGTATGAGGAAGTTGGACTTCTGAGCAGTGGCATATGGGAAGTGCTTGCTAACACTGTGTTTGCTGTGTCCCAGGCAGAGTGTGTTCTGTCTCACAACTCTCATTTAATTGTCAGGTGTGCACTGTTGTCGTCTCCATTTTATACACGTTTATAAGCGTATGCAGGGTTAGCCGTGGCTGAATGTGTTACCCAGTTCATTTGCACAGCTTAATGTGAGGCAGAGCCCGGGTTTGAAGATGTTGAGTTTTGGGAGAAGGCTGAGTTCTCCATGACATTGTCCTTGCTATTCCCTTTCAGATGGCAACGCTTGGGGAAGCTCGCCTTAGGGAAATGGAAGCTTTGCAGTCTCTCAGACTTGCCAATGAAGGGAAACTGCTGTCACCTGCCCAAGATGTGGAAATGAAGGTCTGCCTGTGTCAGAAGGCTCCAGCGACTCCCATGATCCAATGCGAACTTTGCAGGGATGCTTTCCACACTAGTTGTGTGGCAGTACCCAGTATTTCACAAAGCCCCCGAATTTGGCTTTGTCCCCACTGTCGGAGGTCAGAGAAGCCTCCATTAGAGAAAATTCTGCCCCTTCTGGCCTCCCTGCAGCGTATCCGAGTTCGCCTTCCTGAGGGAGATGCACTTCGGTATATGATTGAAAGAACCGTGAACTGGCAACACAGAGCCCAACAACTACTTTCGTCAGGGAATCTAAAATTTGTTCAAGACCGAGTGGGCTCAGGACTGTTATATAGCAGATGGCAAGCCTCAGCAGGACAGATGTCAGAGACAAACAAGGTGAGCCTGGACTTTGCAGGTTATTGGCATCCGTTCAGCTCTGTGCCTTTCTCCTGACATATAGCTCTGTCTGGTGTCGCTGTTTCCTTGGTAATCCGGTTACCATCATCAGCACTCATTGCACCTGTCTACTGCTTCCCACCTCAGGGGCCATGCACATCTGCCGTGACCTTGTAGTTTCTTCTGCACCTAACAGGAGCTGTCTCTTAGCCACTCCGCTTCTGTAGAGTACATGCTCACCTTTTCATATTTATAGATAATTTCTTCTTTTTTATGTCTGTTAGCCCATGTGTAATACTTAACATATGTATAACTTTTGCTTGACTAAACATTTCGTCCCTCACTTGTTCTTCTGTAAGTCATTATGTAGAAAGGAAGACAACCTCTTGTTTTCTATCTAACCTTTAAGGAAGAATAGTATTTGGAAGTATTTGAGTGTTGTTGTTGCTTCAGAGCAAAGAGGATGAGTTTCATGCTATCTGTGGTTTTTCTGCCAAAAGCTAGGCTCTTCTAACCATTACTGGGATGGGTGGGCAGTTTTCTGTCTTTTATAGATGGCTTCAGAGAATGTAAAGAAAGCACAATTAAAATAGCAATATTCAGTCTTTTTATAAGGCTAATTTGATTTTTCAAATCTGGTACATATTTTTTTTATCAAGTAATTACAAACTGGACCTGGTAGTGCACACTTATAGTCCCAGCTCCTCAGGAGGCTGTGGTGGGAGGATCACTTGAGACCAGTCTTGGGCAACATAGACAAAAACAAAACAAAACAAAACCTTTGGGGCTAGAGACATGACAGTAGTAGAGACTTGCCTAACATGCATGAGGCCTGGGTTCAAACCCCAGCGCTGCACAGACATAGAAAGAGAGATGCCAGCACAAGTCTGTGCCATGTGAATACAGACGCATGGATTAAATGTTCAGCAGATGAGAAATAAGGACCAGAAAATGCTGTCATTGCTTTCTTGATTTTTGTTTCTTTCCAGGCTTCTGACATACAGTGCCTGGCACAGAACAGATGATCAATTAAATTTTTGCTGCATAGATGCGTTGTAGCTGTTTGGACAGCCTACAGCGGAATCACTGTGTTCTTTACCCAGAACGTGCTAGGAGTTTCCCTTTATCCAAAAAGGGAAAGGGTGCAACTGTTATTTACTACTTCATGATCAGAAAAAGGTTTCCCTTGTTTCCTTTAATAAAACACTGAAGAAGGGGTATGTGATTTGTGTGTGTGTGTGTGTGTGTGTGTGTGTGTGTGTGTGTGTGTGTGTGTATGAGAGAGAGAGAGAGAGAGGCAATGATTTCTGACAGATCCTTACTTGGTTTACTCAAAGGGGTACATGCCTGTGTTCATTGTAATGTAATCTTTAATAAGGAGAACTACATAAGGATTAAAAGGTTGTATGATTTGTTTTCACACAGAGAAAATGGCTTATTTCCCAATGGTCTGAAATCAGTCCAAGTAAAACGGGGAAGATTAAAGGCTTGGTCTTCTGGAGGGTTGATTTGGACAGTTTCCTGTTTCATTTTTTTTTTTTTTTTTTTGAGGTACTGGGGCTTCAACTGAGGGCCATCACCTTGAGCCACTCCGCCAGCCCTTTTTGTGATGGGTATTTTCGAGATAGGGTCTCATGAACTATTTGCCCAGGCTGGCTTCAAACCATGATCCTCTTGGTGTCTGCCTCCTGAGTAGCCAGGATTACAGGTGTGAGCCACCAGCGCCCGGCTTGGCCAGTTCTAAGATGCTAGGGGACTCATTTCAGTTTGGGAAAAGCAGGTCTGTCTGTCTTCTGGTTGCCTGCCTGAGAAGCTACTTTCATTGGGCCATTAGGAGTAATTTCAGTCTTGAAAAGACCTTGTTAGAAGATGTTTTTCTTCTTAGGTATCTCAACCTCCTGGCACAACGTCCTTTTCCTTGCCTGATGACTGGGACAACAGAACCTCGTATTTACATTCTCCCTTCTCTACTGGACGGAGTTGTATTCCCCTTCGTGGTTTGTATTTGATTATTTCTACTATTTGTGGGAGCTAACAGCAATGGGTCGTCTTGCACTAGGTCTTTGTAATATATGATTAGGCTCCATAAAGAACTTCATCCTTAAATGCAGGATGCAGGCTAGTGTGCAGTTGCTAGATAATCTAGGGCAGTGATGGACCATATTTGAAGGAAAGAGAGAGGAAGGCCTTGTTCATTTGCTCCCAGGGATAAAAAGGTTCATCCTATGCCAACTCATTAATTAAGCACCGTGTATTTAGGTCAGATGCTAAGTCATGTGCTCCCTTGTTTCAGTACTTAAGAGACTTGTGTTTACAGGATCTTGAAAATAATCCACATTGAGACCTTCCTTCATTTTTCTTACCTCTAAATGACTACCCCAGGAGCTCTGCCTAAAGCTGCAACGGAGTCTTGATCCTTAGTCACATGCTCAGTGTGTGTCTAGTGACGTGACCAAGTTCTTCATCCACTCAAAGCATTCCTGCCCTGGGCTAGCTGCTGCTTTCTGTGATTTTTCTAGTAAAGGCTGTCCTGGCAGAGGGCGCTATCTTCTGTATTAGCTAGATGCAAGGAGAGAATTCTGGTGGAATAAATACTTCCTAGTAACCAGAAATCTTAGGAAATGTAGTTTGGGTTCTATTTGTGTAGTGTAGCTTTCGGAACGTTAAGTGAACTTAACTTGAACTGAATACTTACCTTAAGAAGGAAAAGGTGGAAGTTTGATGAGGGGAAGTCTCTGTGCTTGTGTGAAATACTCTTGTCATCATTTTAATTGGGTCTGGTCTTGTAACAGGCATCACTCCAGAAGTGAATGAACTGTTGATGGAAGCCCAGTTGCTCCAGGTATCCCTTCCTGAAATTCAGGAACTTTACCAGACTTTACTTGCAAAGCCAAGCCCTGCTCAGCAAACTGACCGAAGTTCACCAGTTAGACCTAGCAGTGAGAAGGTGAGTGTCTGAGAAAACAATGTTACACCTTTTCTTTTTTCTTTTTTTTGGGTGGTACTGGGGTTTGAATTGAGGACCTCACACTTGCTAAGCAGGCAGTCTACCACTGATGTTATACTTTGTAGTGTCACTCCACCTCAGTAGTTTGGTGAAGCGGATGGCTGATATCTTTGATCCACAAAAGGATGCAAACTGTCTACCTTGCAGCTCTGTTCTTAAGACTGTTAGTGAGAAGGAACATCGTTGACTTGCAGCACCTGGGGCTTATGGCCTGCATTTGGATCCTGTTTCTAAGTTACTAATTTATTTTTTCCTGTTTCTCAAGGTGTGCTTCTCATCATTCCTATGTGACAATAGTAAGAAGCAGCATTATTTTATCCTATAAGAGAAATACTGTAGAAATAGAAATGTAATTATAGCCTTTTTTTTGTTTTTTATAAAGAACAGAGTCAATGTTGAACCTAACAAGACATCTGGTGTGGGTGAGGGCTGAAGACACCTGTCTTGAATGCTGACTTGAAGGATACTCTACAGTGTCCTGTTTCTTAGCATACTTAAATATACTGCTGCTGCCTCGTTCTTATAAACTAACTGACCTGTCACATATAACATAAGGCCCTTACCATAGAGGCACACGATAGGTATCTACTAGGACGACTGAAGCCATGTTAGAGCATGAGGACTGGTAATGGCATTTAGAGTTTTATTTTTCATTGTGAAACCAAATTGTGTAGAAGATGATAGTTATTATGTTCATTTAATGGACCTTCCTCTAGAAGGGGTGGGAGGACTATGTATTTTTTAAAGAAGAGGAACATACTAGCCTGGTTCCTCAGGAACCTTAGATCAGACACTTAGAATCTACACAATTAGTCATGCATTGGTGAAAAGAAGAATCTCTGGACATCTTTCATTTCCTGGTGCCAGTTGGCTAATTTGAAGGCAAAGTATGTTGTTGGTTTCCTTTTTCTAGTGTTCCTTCACTAGCACCAACAGTGAGGAAGAAAGAAAGTTAAACTGGTTGTACTGCACGACTTGGAGGGGAGTTGGGGGAGAGGCTAGGATGCAGTGTGGTGTCACTGTGTGCTGGGGGACCATCTGATTCCTCATTCACATATTTTCTTTAGTCTTACTGGTTTTAGACGAGATCGGGCACATTCAGGGTGGTATTGCCATAGACTAGTAGTTTTAGTAGTGGGCAGTCTGTAGGCTAAACTTGAATTTTCTCATCTTCCGTCCAGAATGACTGCTGCCGAGGGAAACGCGATGGAGTCAGCAGTCTTGAGAAAAAACTGAAGAGACGCCTGGAGAGAGAAGGCCTCTCCAGTGACCGGTGGGATCGAGTTAAAAAAATGCGGACCCCTCAAAAGAAGAAAATCAAACCGAGCCATCCCAAGGACTTGAACAATTTCAAATTAGAGAGAGAGCGTAGCTATGAATTAGTCCGATCTGCCGAAACTCATTCCCTGCCCTCAGACACATCCTATTCTGAACAGGAGGACTCTGAGGATGAAGATGCCATCTGTCCAGCTGTGAGCTGCCTGCAGCCAGAAGGAGATGAGGTCAGTGAGGTTTGGGCCATAGAGGACGTGCTTTCCCTTAACTCAGAAACCCTGTAAGCTAGACCTCATCTCGCTGGGTCTTTCTCTTCTGCTTGTCTGCTTTGAGCCGATCTGAATGGATTGCTCAGTCTTCCCCCCACTGATACCTCTGCTCTTAACCATCGTTCCTGGGTCTCCTCCCTTTCCTTGAAGAAACTCTCGTTCTTCCCTTTTTCCTTTTCTTGTTTCTCCAGCTTTCACCGTCCCGGCGCTAAGAAGGTGGGAGGGATGCTGATGTAATACCCTTTTGCTTACTATCACAGGGCAGCACTGTCTTACCCAAAGCAGTCACGACTTGAAGAATGACTTTGACTCGGTTGCTTTGGCTGGTGGGCCAGCTACACTCATGTGGCTTAGCTGTTGTGCCAGAAGTCCCAGTGGTGGGACAGTGGCCGTTAATGGCAAACGGCCTGATATCTTGAGGCTGGCCTGCCCCCCCCCCCCCCCCCCCCCCCCCCCCCCCCCCCCCCCCCTCCCCCCCCCCCCCCCCCCCCCCCCCCCCCCCCCCCCCCCCCCCCCCCCCCCCCCCCCCCCCCCCCCCCCCCCCCCCCCCCCCCCCCCCCCCCCCCCCCCGCCCCCCCCCCCCCCCCCCCCCCCCCCCCCCCCCCCCCCCCCCCCCCCCCCCCCCCCCCCCCCCCCCCCCCCCCCCCCCCCCCCCCCCCCCCCCCCCCCCCCCCCCCCCCCCCCCCCCCCCCCCCCCCCCCCCCCCCCCCCCCCCCCCCCCCCCCCCCCCCCCCCCCCCCCCCCCCCCCCCCCCCCCCCCCCCCCCCCCGCCCCCCCCCCCCCCCCCCCCCCCCCCCCCCCCCCCCCCCCCCCCCCCCCCCCCCCCCCCCCCCCCCCCCCCCCCCCCCCCCCCCCCCCCCCCCCCCCCCCCCCCCCCCCCCCCCCCCCCCCCCCCCCCCCCCCCCCCCCCCCCCCCCCCCCCCCCCCCCCCCCCCCCCCCCCCCCCCCCCCCCCCCCCCCCCCCCCCCCCCCCCCCCCCCCCCCCCCCCCCCCCCCCCCCCCCCCCCCCCCCCCCCCCCCCCCCCCCCCCCCCCCCCCCCCCCCCCCCCCCCCCCCCCCCCCCCCCCCCCCCCCCCCCCCCCCCCCCCCCCCCCCCCCCCCCCCCCCCCCCCCCCCCCCCCCCCCCCCCCCCCCCCCCCCCCCCCCCCCCCCCCCCCCCCCCCCCCCCCCCCCCCCCCCCCCCCCCCCCCCCCCCCCCCCCCCCCCCCCCCCCCCCCCCCCCCCCCCCCCCCCCCCCCCCCCCCCCCCCCCCCCCCCCCCCCCCCCCCCCCCCCCCCCCCCCCCCCCCCCCCCCCCCCCCCCCCCCCCCCCCCCCCCCCCCCCCCCCCCCCCCCCCCCCCCCCCCCCCCCCCCCCCCCCCCCCCCCCCCCCCCCCCCCCCCCCCCCCCCCCCCCCCCCCCCCCCCCCCCCCCCCCGCCCCCCCCCCCCCCCCCCCCCCCCCCCCCCCCCCCCCCCCCCCAATTTTGAATAAATGATAAAGGCTTATATATTTTTCTTATAAAAAGAAAAGCAGTTTGTATAATGGTGAGTCCTATTTGCCACATTTGTTCTACTTTTCAAAGGATTTCTAATTACTAAGACATTCTTTATATTATTTATAAGTCAAAACTTTAACTGAAAGCTACTCTTTGACCACAGTTAGCCATTAGCTGGAATTCAGGAAAGAACACAGGTTTGATCACCAAATCAATAATCTAGCCACAGGCTGACTAAAAGCTTCTTTTAATCTTCCATTAGGTCTTCCTTTAAATTAAACCATTCCCTTCATGAATTATTTAGGTGAATGACATTATAGAAAGATTCTTCCTACAAAATGCTCAAGGAACCTAAGAAGATCCATTTAGCATATTTCAGGAATTACGCATGAATCAAGATGTTGTAGGCTTAAAAAAAGGGAGTGGGAAGGGGTATATCTGGAAAAGCCTCAGAAAAAAACTAGAAAAGTCAAAGTTATTTCCTGATTAGTGCAGGGTGATTCCAAAGCAGTGAAATGTGTCTGGTTCAGACCAGCTGTTAGCGATTAAGTAGTTCCCTTTCACTGTCAAGGCTTGTTCCTGAGGTATTTTATTGCCTAGATTCTTAATTTTAATATTTTATCTTGATAGTTTCTTTTAGCATCATCCTCTCTAACCAATAATCGCTACCCATTTCCACCATGCTGAATACTTTCTCTATTTGGAATTTACACTTTTCAAATGTTCATGTTCAACTTAAGAATAACAAAATTCCTATTTAGATATATTTTTATTCTCTTAAATTTTTCCTCTCAAAACTTACTCATTTTAATTAGAACAGTCCAAGAAGTATATTTTAAACACTTTCTTATGAGTCAGATTTGAATACTGATGTTCTTCTAAGTATAATCCTCACAAAAACAGAGAAAGGAGGAAAGTAACCAACCTATCTAAATTCCAAACCCTTACTGTTTAAAAAAATTACTCTTTTCTTTTTCCTTCATGATAAATAATTCCCTTCTCGAGTCTTTGTATTTCCACTTTCCAAACTTCTTTTCATTGCAGTAAATACCAAAGGAAAAATACAAGTGATTTCATAGTAAGTCTCTTCCCTGTTCAAGGCTACACATCTGGCAGTATATTGAAAACGTTAACAGCTGTTAATACCTTGAAACTGAAAAAAAAAAAAAAAGCCAGAGAAAATATAGCACAAGCAATCAGTCTGAATTACATGAAAAGCTACTTAGATCTTGACTTTCATATAAACACTAATTTTTATCACTATAAAAGACAACATAACTGCATTTTATTTTTCTTTATAAAACTACCCCTTAACAGAATATTCCTAAGCTGGTCATTCCTTAGGTATTTCTGCACTGATAAAAAGTTATTTTTTAAAAGAAAAATATTTAAAATAATTGTTTCACAGAAACAGAAAGTCTTATCAAATTCTGATAAAACTATAATCATGGGTAGGCGTTACCACACTATTATTTTTCTTTCTCCATATGGGTATTTAGGAAGTGTTATACTGGCTAACAAGATGATATCTCAGTGATCTGCAAAAGTGCCACAATGAAGATGAGGTAGTGTGAGACTTTCCTACCTTTGTAAAGGTTGGTGTTATGATTTCCTGGGCCTCATCATGCTATAAGAGGTACCACTTTAATAGCTACCCCTCATGGAGTCTAAGGCAATCTTGAGACCACAGAGAAAAAATGCTAGAAGATAATGGTAACATTTATTTCCCTGCTTGATTATCTGCTAAAAATTTATTTGAAAAATGTCATCTTTTATGTTAACAGAACTACAGATAAGGAAATGAAACTCAAAGCAACAATAATTAAGAAACACTTGTCTTAACTTGGAAATTTATGAGTCACAGTTCTTTCAATCCAGGTAGAAACAAGTTTCCTAATTCAGCTAAACTAGCATCAGGAAATCATTTACTAGCTGGGGGTGGTGGTACACACCATTAATACCAGCATTTGGGAGGCAGAGGATTGGAAGTTTGAGACCAGCCTCAGCTAAAGACCAAGTATGAGGCCAGGTTGAGCTACTTAGTGAGACCCTGTCTCAAAAACGAACAACAAAACCTCAATAACCATATTAAAAATGCCAGTTGTACAAAGGGGTAGACAGCTCACCAGAAGAAAAAAACTGGTTAATCTGTCTAGATTAATCATGGTTCTTTAAAAAAAAAAAAAGAGGGTATCATTCCACTTCTTTTTTAGCTACAGTGGCTAATGATGTTTCTGGAATGCTGTCCTGTTCTTAGCAGTAAATTTGAAATGCTATTATTCTGCCCTACTATTCTGTATGTTATGCACATGTAGCTGTCAAAATGACTTCTATTTTTGCAGCCACATTAAAATATGCTAATTTGAAGACAGGAATATTTGGAACTTGAAGATCAAAAAACAGTATTAAGCTTCCCAAATATTGAGCTCTAAGGGTCTATTTTCTTGAATTTTTATTCAAGTTCAATTTAAAATAATGAGACACTACTTAGGGACTCTTGATTACCAGTGGAAATCTGTGGTTGTTTATAATAAACTGCAAAATTTCACCCAAAGTAACAGACTCAGAGTTTCTATAAAAGGGCTAAGTTGATGCAGCTATTCATAAAATACAGAAAAACCATAGTTTGCTTTAGTACTACTAGCTACTAATACTGCTGTCATTATTTCTAAAGCTTCACAAGAAAGGAACAAAATTTATGTTTGGACGACGGTATAACTCTTCTAGGTTGAGAAACATCTATTCAAGAATAACAAATGACCTTGCCACATTTCAGAACAAATGAACCTCCATGAAGTCATGTTTTCATTGGATTCTCATTGACCAGGTTAATAAAAAAACAAATTCTGACTTTCAACTATTTTGTTACCTTTAACATTCCTACTAGTAAATGATAAAAGTCGATTACATTAGTAGGGATGAGTTACAACACTCATCTTTACTGAAGGACTTTAAAACTGAGTGAAAAGGGATGGAGAAACTATATTTTTTGTATAGGATACTGATGGCATTGATTAACAAAACATTTTACATGTAGGAAAGAATATAAGGTTATTTTTAAAGAAAAATACAAAATATTCAAGTGTAGTTGGAATGCCTACCAAATTTCAAATATGCCTGAATCATACACAAAGGCAAACAAGTATCCAATCTACATGATAAAAACAAAACCAAACAAACACGTGGTTAAAAATATCTATTAACTTCTCATTTATAATCTTAAACAATTAAGTGTATCATAAGAAAAATAAACTGATCTGGAAGAAAAACTTAGGGCAGAGGTTCATTTTGGATTCCAACTGCCTTTGTACAAAAATTCAAAGAGGCATAAGAAATTCAAACATTAAATGAAAATATATATGTAGTTATTAATATATTCCTACCCTTTTCTTAGCATTGTTGTTCTGGTGCATCAATCCTGAGTACTCTAACTTTCGATTTGTAATGATATTCCTTCAGATACAATTTCATAGAAGGAGGAATTGGAAGGGCATCAATGCCATCGTAAGTGGTACAATTACAAATAACTGTTCTGCAGATATGCTGCAGGGAAAAGGGAAAAGTCCGAATTAAGGGAGTAGATAAAAGTGGTTCAAAGAACATACAGGCACTTGGGTCCTTGTAATGCTCCAGGAGCCCAGTAATGTCAGGAGAATGGAAGACACAAGGATCATGTGCATCAAAGCTAAAGTTATGATTCCATTGTTCAATTCTGGCATGAAGAGAACGACTATAGCGTCTAAAACTAACAGAGAATAGATAGTCTTCCTGTGCTGAGTCTCGAAGTAAGAAGTACCCTCCGGTTTTCCTTCTAGTAGAGCTTCAGCTGCGTATTTATCCATAACTCCCCAGTAACATGGATTGTTATT